CAAATTCTGGTGGGGCTCAAATCCAAAAGATACCAGCTTGTTTAAGGCTCTAGCTGCCAGTTACTAAGCCTTAGGAGGTGCTTTTCAGTGGTTGGGGAAATGGGAGGTGGGTTTAGCTCTGGAACTGGACCCCAGGAAGGCCAGATGAGGCTCCTGGGCCTCAGGCTCCCTCCCTGTGCTTTCAAATCTCTGAACACTGTTCCTTATGCAGCAACATGAAATGTTAGATGAGTGCAGGTACTGCTTCCCTGCTCTCTTGCTTAATTTCCTTCAGCAGGCTTGTGGGGTTGGTCCCAGTACTGAACGAACACTATGAGTGACACTTAGCTATAAAGCTGAACATGCCAGGTTCCCACCTGGGCTCATATTCCATAGCTAGAGTACTGACAGCCTCCAGCTATGACTTTGACAGCCTCAGTGTCAGTGCCAGCGGAAATCTGCCAGTCTCTGTTGCCTATTCCTGCTTGGCACCAGTCAGAGCATTATTATTGAGAGTGTGCTTTTAATTTGGCTCAGCTTCTTCATCCTCTCTCCCTTCCACCATAACTGAAAGAAAGCTTAAGTAGTTGTAACCACACTGTGTGTATTTTCCTCCCTTATCTCCAGTCTTCCCCCTTCTTCTCCATTATTTTCTCCATTTATTGAACCTAAGACTGGAAGAACACAGAGCTACTTGCTTCTGTAACTCCTGTCAAGTCTTATGTAGCCTGATCGTGCTCATGAATTAGTAATTAAAGCATTTTGCATCACTATGTGGCCCTTACACACACACACAAGAATATTTTCTTACAAGTAGAGGAAAACTTCGAGATGTTCTAGTACAGGGTGGTCTAACTTTTTCCACCTGGAGAGCCTCATGAGAACTTTGACATGGAACTGGGGGGGCCGCACAATAAATTTCATTTCCATATTGTAAATTAAGGTGTTTGCAATATATTTATTTAATTTAATATAAAAAATTAATATATTTAATTAACAATTAAGAGGGATAAATTTTAGGATGATTTCAGGACTAACTGAATGAAAAAGAACACTCTGTGGACTTCTTGATTTCTCCAGAGGTCACAGGCAGCTCTTTCTCTGACCGCAGCTCAAGCACAATGACTGCGCCTCTGGGGTGGCCCAGAAACTGTCCCATGTGTGCGCCCCCATGGCCCCTCCTTCCTTCTTGGAATTGGCCTGCTGAGCCTCTTGGACTTTAGCCTACAAATTCTGCCCAGCATGCCCTGCCTGCTCCTGCGGTCGAGCGCAAAGGCAGTCTGCTGGAGCGGTGCAGAGCATGCTGGGACGAGCCTGCCCATTTTTTTATTTTATTTTATTTTATTTTATTTTATTTTATTTTATTTTATTTTATTTAAAACATTTCTATGCAGCCCCCATCGCAACAAAGCCTCTGGGCGGCTCACAAAAAATACAAAAAAAAATACATAAACAATAACAATATAACAATTTAAAAGAAAAAAAATTTAAAACCCCCGATGCATTCTTGGCTAATTTAAAATCCTAATAAATACAATAATTTAGCAATTAAAATAAGTTTTAAATAAAAAGGTCCTAGCCTGGCACCGAAAAACAAATAATGATGGCACCAGGCGGACCTCTCTGGGGAGCGCATTCCATAGATGGGGCACCACTGCAGAGAAAGCCCTCCTCCGGGTACCCACCCTCCTAATATCATTCACAGAGGGTTCCCGGAGAAGGGCATCCGTTACTGATCTCAAGGGGCGGGAGGGCATATATGGGCGCAAGCGTATATCTGACCCACTTTCTTCCTGAGGCTCAGGATTGCTCACCAAAATCATGTGCATGCCATCACTGGGATCTGGAGGGGGGGGAATGGGGGGCCGCAGAACAAAGTCTCAGGGGGCCGCATGTGGGTTGGACCATCCCACTCAAGTAGTTCCACGCACATAGAAGCATCAGACCGAGTAGTTGGGCTTTCAGCTAGAAGCCTGGATTGTTCAGGCTGACACACAGTAGTGTTTTTTGAAGGAAAGGGAATATATTGGTCTTGTTAGTGAAATGAAATGAAGGTTGCAGAGCACTAAGCACTGTCTTCATAGTGCTTCAAGTGATGGAGCCAGGTAGTAACTGTCAGGCAGAAAATCTAAGGAGTTTCTCCAGATTGGTCTGTGTGTGAGAGAGAGAGAAAGAGAGAAGCCAGGGCTCCTGGGCTAGTATACAAACAAAATCAATAAATGTTCAGGCATCAACAAATATTCTTGGCCTAACAATTGTAGCAGTAACATTTGTCAAACATAGCAAGCGGCTATCTTTCCTTCCAGTCTGGAAGATGCACTGGCAGATGGGATCATCTGTTCAGCTGCATGTTGTTCCACCTCCAAATCCAGGGAGAAGACTGGGTATTGCTTGGCAGCTATGTGGCCAGAGCACCCTGAGAACCTTGGCCATGCAGGACCAAATTGCTAACCCTTTAACCTGCTGGCCTTTTCTTCCTTGGAACAGGAAAGGCAGGTGGGGGGTAGGGCAACATTGGCATAATCTCAAGCACTGGACATGAATGGCACACCTTTGGGCAGCAATGATGAACAGCACATATGTTTTCTGCTTTTCCTTTGGGAAATACTGGTGTGGGGAGCACTTGACAGGGAGTTACAGTTAATTTTTTGCTTAGCCAGCAAGTCCAGAAAGGTAGACCTCTGTATTTGCTATGTGCAAACTACCTAGTTGCTATAACAATAAAACCATGGTTTGCATCAAAATAGACACTTCAAGTAGCCTAGCCAGGGCATAATCCAAATTTGTTGATCTCATAGCCCACCTTCACAGCAGCGAACTTCTGTTTGATTCTCTGTGCCTATGCAAGGATAGTAATGAAACTCTCCTAAGTTTAGATTATAAGCATGCACAGTTTCTAGAAGAAAGAGCTAATAGTAATTGTTCAAAATAGTGTTTGCCATGGGATGGAAAGCAACCATCCATGCAGTTTGGTTGATATTCTAATCTGAGATCTGAACAAATTGCAGAGCTTATGTTGTTGGAGGGCATATGGGCTCTGTGGGTGATCCTGGAGATATGAGGGATAGCATCTGTTGGGTCATCGTTGGTAATGCTTACCCTCAGAAATCAGTTAATCCTTTCTCCCTGCCCCCCTTTTTACAGGGAATATTAGCTTTCAACTCACTGACTTCTTTCAGGCATAATGTTAAATTATGGTTTAGTGTTACATGCAAGTATTTTGGACTCCTGTCCTCCATCTTTCCCTCTCCTCTAGAGTAGCAGCAAGAAGGCGGTTGGAAGCTTTCACTTCTCTTCTCCGTTAACTGCAATCTAGCATTACATCCAGATCATAAACTCTGATTAACCTTAACTGTGTCATAAGGCATGGTGTAAAGTTGTTTTCAGTAAATTATGGTTAAGGCTAACCACACTTTGTCAGACATAATGCTAAACTGTGGTTAGTTAAAAATGGAAGTGAGGACTTCAGATCTCCTCATGACTGTGTTGAAATGGAGGGACAAGTGGAGCATGTGAGCCCACAGCTTCTTCACATAATGCTGGTTCACTTTGCAATATGCAAAGAGCATTATGTTTGAGACCAGTGTGTGTGTGTGTATACATCATTCAGCTTTGAAAGACGGTTTGCACAACATGAAAAGCCACACTGAATAGAAAGCTACGCAAGGTTGTTTACCACCCTACTCCCCATATACCTGGCAGAGGATTGAGCATATCATGGATAAGGTAGCTGTTCCTCTTGCAAATATCTCAGGACTTAAAAGGAGCCCCAAGGTTTCCACCCCTTCTTGCCACCACTTGACAGTGTTGCTGGGAGTAGGGCAATGGGGCAGTGCCCATCGTTTCAGCCTACTCAAAGTAGACTCAAGAAATGGGCACTGCTTGCCACCACACTCTGCCCAAAAGGGCTGGCTGCGACAACAGGAACTTTTTTCCCTTCTACCATTGTCAACCTTAAACATCAGGTGGGGATGCCAGGGATGATCCCAGCTTCTCACAACTACCCCTTCTCTGCTAGCATTCAAGCCATAGCCTAGCAGAAAATGGCTCAGCCTGTCCCTGAATATGCCCAGTCCTTGCCTGGCTCAGCTGCCCCCACATCAATCAAGAACAGCTGGCATGCAGGAGTTGGGAACCTAATAGTAGCTGCTCATCACTGCCACTTGTGCACTTTGCTGGTGGCTGCCATCAGCTTTTGGCAAGAGCCACTGGACAGCAGCAGCAAAGATTTCACCTCCTTTGCCAAGTGGCTGACTTGTTGTGTGGCTTGCTGTCCATAACACTAAGCCACCACGGAGTTAAATAAGCAAGCAAACCCTACAATGGCTTGTCAGCATGGTTTGTAAGTCAAACTTTATGCCATTCTGTCAAAACTGTCCTGTTGTTGTGCAAACCCAGTTAGGAAGTATAAACTTCAATGTGCAGTCTGTTTTAAATTCACTTTTAACCATATGTTTTAGAGACAGATCTACATTTTAATCCTGTTTAAAAACTAAATTGATTTCATTCCACCCTGCAAATGGCTGTGCCTGAGGTGAGATTGAACCAGGGACCTCAGTTCACACTTTTGGCCACGGCACTTGCTCTCTATCAGAAGGCACTGGAACGGCTAGTCTACATTATACTTTGCTCTTCAGCGTATGGAATGAGAAACAAGAGGGCAGGGATATTGAGCCCCAGGCCTGCAATCTGAGTCCAACCTTTTGGGATTTCCCAGATGGCAGTGCACCCTTTTGGCCCCACTCCTTTTCCTCCAACCATTGATCATTTGGTGGGTTTCCTAATTTCTGTGCAGTTTTTCATCCATTCTAAAGGGCTGACATATTGGCAATAGGAAAGATATTTCTGGTATTCATGACCCCACCCCATTTATCTCCAGCTCCCCCTGCCCTTGGTAAGTAGCCTCCAGGAAATTTTCCAAAATGGAATTTGGTCTTTGAGCTGAAAGAGATGGTGAGTAGGGCAAGGAGCTATGCTGATGCCTGTGCAACTTCCACCTTCTTTCCTTGTTTTCCTTGCAGAGTGATCCAGGAAACTGGTCAGTGCTGGAGCATCTGGGTCTGGACCTGAGTTCAGATTTCTCAGACACCAGCGTGCAGCAAAAATTGGATGAAGAAAAGGAGAAGATTAAACGTGAGATCCGGAAAGAGCTGAAGATAAAGGAGGGAGCCGAGAACTTGCGTAAGGCCACCACAGATCGTAAGAATCTCTCCAATGTAGAGAATTTGCTCAAGAGTTCCAACCGCAAGCTAGAGGCACTGCACCACCAACTGCAGGATCTCAATGCCCATATTGTCGTCAAAGACCCAGAAGAACTTGGGGGTGAGTGTGTGAGATGATTGAGGTTGGTAGGGTATCAAGGATCAGATGCTGCAGGAGAGCAAAGAACAAGCACAGATATGGGGCAAAGCAGGACAGGACCTAGAGGTAAAATGCTCAAACTGTTGTCACCTCTCAGTAGATCTCATACCCGATTTTGGCAACATGATTTTAGCTGGAAGGAGGCCATGGAACTATATAAAAGATTCTTAAAAGAGTGTTTTGATGAACTTCCCTTGGTCAAGAAAAGCTTGTTTTTATTAGATCTTATAGTAAGCAAACCAGGCAGTTTACTTGTGGCAGGCATTGCAAAGAAAATGGCTGTATTGGAAAAAGCCGCACATGACTGAATTACTCAACCATATACAGTAGGTCTGGTGACATCTGCCTGCATTTCAGAATTGATTTGGGGTTTAGAGAGAGAAAAAAATCTGTCTACATTATAAATTATAATCAAGTGTTTATTATTATGTAATAATAATCATCCAGGTTATGCCACTGTAGCTTCAATATGGGGCTGTTTTTGAAAACAGTATTATATTTACATTTTGTTTTTGGGGGAAATTAGGAAACTGGAACACTGATGTGAAAATTATTGCTGATAATCCAGTTAGTTCCGTTTAGTTTCATTGGTGGCCTCAGTGAAATGTAAGAGGATTAAAGAAATACCCTTTCCATACTTTCATACAAAGGGTTCCTATCTGTTTGAAAAACCTGAACAAAGGTGAGAGATTCCATGTGTCAGCATAATCTATTACATTTCCCAATGCTGTTTGTTTAAAAGCAGTTCCTTTAGATCCACACCGTGGTACATTGGAGGCTTTGTATGATAGGTGAAACTTTACGCTTAAGAAGCCATGGAAATCTTGTTTGTGTGCTCCTCCCTGCTTTTATTTTTCCAGCCCCTTTTTTCCTGATGAGTACCAGCAATGCCAGTCACTAGTTGTGGACTGAATCACTGACAAAGCAGAGACCCTGGCATCAGGCCTGATATTTAACAAGTGAGGGTTAGCAGCAGCAGCAGGCAGCCTTCCTTCAGCTACTATAGTAGAAAAATACAGTGCCCAGTGGAGCTCATGGGACACAGAGGCAGACCTGCCTTTGTTCAACTTCCACCCTCCTTGCGTAACTTCCTGGTCCTGCAGTTTGTGTTTTTTTTCTAAAGAGTGGCAGGACAGCCCTTCAGATCTAAGCTATCACATTAGACAAAACTAGAACTGCACACTATGCAGAAACAGCAGCCTGTGAATTTGCAAAAAAAGGAAGTGGTTGCCATTGTACCTGACTCCACTCAAAACTACTAGCCACAAAAGAGGTGAAGGGAAGAGTCAGCATAGGAAACACTTGGGCTAGAAAGAAGGCAGAGTGTGGGGTTTGACCATTTTACCTTTTTTTGTGGGCGGGGGGAGAATAGTAATACAGAATTTGGCCCTCAGTCTCAGAGCTCCTGCAAACTGGTTGTCATCCCAGATAAGGACCAGTTCCCTAGCAGATAGCACCTATTTCAATAGAACAGCGTTCTAGATGGACAAAGCTGTCTTGGTGTCAGGCTATCCCTATTTAGCCTAGAAATGGTGGTGTGGTGTGGTGTGATGTTGCTGGTAACAGTACAAGTATTCTTACTAACCAAGTATCTTGCCAATCTAGGATTTACTCCATGTTGTACTAGCTTAAAAGATCTGAGCTGCTCCTTTTCTATACGGATTCATTCCAGCTGGCGTGCTTTGTACTACATTGCGCAGCAATGAAACCAAGCCATTCTGGCAGTCTTCCTCATGAACAGGCTCCTGATCTCATAGTTGGTTCTTTGTCTCTCAAGAAGAAGAAAAAATAAGGAAAACACTAATCTGGAGTGTTACGACCTTGCCTAATGTGGGTTCCACATGATGTCAGCTCAGTTCCAGAATTTAAAGAGACAGCATTTGAATCTTGGTCTGTCAAAGTTTTTTGTCAGTGTCTTCAATGACAGTTGTCTGCCCTAGCAGCAGCATTTCACAGAGATGGCACTATATTCCTCTTACTTGGAATATGACTCTTACATGGGTTACATCACACTAGAAGAAGGTCTGTAGAAAATGTGTTCCCTTGGAAGATGCTTGGTTAACTGAACTCAGCTGTTTTCTGGTGACAGTCTCATTGGCCATGTTCTGTGGGATAGAGAATGAGAGAATTCTTTTGCTAGACTTGACAGATACCCTTTGTTTAACCTATTACATTTAACATTTAAGGGACAGCAATTGTGTTTCTTACCCATTGCAAAGACATTCATATCCTGTTCAGTTTTAAGTGAATTATACAGTAATTCCCTTACATTTAGGAAGGCTGCCCCTTTGTTCTGATGAGATGCGATTGCTTTGTGGCCGACAGCAGCTCTTTTTATATAAGGGTATTTGTGATGGTCTGTGGTTGAAACAAGTATGTTTAATTTTTTATTTATTTATTTATTAACACATTTTTATGCCGCCCCATTTGCCGAAGCCTCGGGGCGGCTTACAACAATAAATTAAAATAACATTTTAAAATATATACATTAAAATACAAATATATGATATAAAACATACAATATAAAACAAGCCGCCCTGGCCAGATAAAATTCAATAGTATTAACATTTAAAATACTGCTTAAATAAAAAGGTCTTCGCCTGGCGCTGAAAAACAAATAACGACGGCGCCAGGCGGACCTCTCTGGGGAGCGCATTCCATAACTTAGGCGCCACCGCTGAGAAAGCCCTCCTCTGAGTAACCACCCTCCTAACTTCTTCCACGGAGGGCTCCCGGAGAAGGGCCTCTCCCGCCGATCTCAGGGGGCGGCTGGGCATATATGGATGTAAGCGCTCCTTCAGGTAACCAGGACCCAAGCCGTTTAGGGCTTTATAGGTCATCACCAACACCTTGAATTGGGCCCGGACTTCAATGGGAAGCCAGTGAAGCTGGCGGAGAACTGGAGTCATGTGAACATAACGTCCAGTCCCCGTCAGCAGCCTGGCAGCTCTATTTTGAACCAATTGAAGTATCCGGACCGTCTTCAAGGGTAGCCCCACGCAGAGCACGTTACAGAAGTCAAGACGGGACTTATTTAATGTTCAACTGCACCATTTATTTAATTTTCTTATACCCTCATTCAAAAGATTTGCAAGGGCTCTACACTCATCAAAACCAATAAACAATAGCACCATTTAAAATGGGGCACACAACTTTTCAATGTGGAGGGCTGCATATGAATTTGGAACCTATGTATGTACACAGGTACAAATACACACATACGTCAGTGATCCTGGCTCACATCGCATGACCCTTTCTGCTAGAGTCATCTGTGTAGGGATTTCTGTGCATGAAGCGGGGAGCTATTCCCTCAGCAGTCCTGATGGAGATCATTTTTTGCTGCCGTTGCTGCCCCTGCTGCAATTTTCTCTATCAAGATAACTGGGAAAGGAAATTTGAAGGTGGCACTTGGGGGCTAGAATTAAGTTCTTGGCAGAGCTTCAGTTTGTGGAATCCCTGTTTTAAAACAATATCTTAAGAATAAATTCAAAAATCATAGAATAGTAGAACAGGACGGGGCCAAGAAGGCTGTTGGTCCAACCCCTGCTCAATGTAAGATTTCAGGTTAAGCCATTCCTTTCAGATGGCTCTCCAGCTGCATTTTGAATGCCTCTAATGTGGGAGAGCCCATCCCCTCCCAATGGTGTACTGCTCTTTCACAAAGTTCTTCCTGATGTTCAGCTGGAACCTGAACAGCAATATACTGTAAAAATATAAGATAAAATCCTGAAGCAACTGTAATAGATTTAGTTAACATTTAAATGGCTGGGTACATTTTTAAACAACAAATCATTATTAGACTTGGGCACCTAGGACAGCCCAGTGGAGAGCGAGCATTGCAGCGCCATTTTCCCCTGGCACTGAACAGCAACCTGCAGTTGTGGTCATAAGTTTGGGCAGGTTCATGTGCAGCAGGCAATGCTTAAGATACCTGGGCCTCACACTGTTTAGAACGTTGAAGGTTAAAAGGCAGCACTTTGAGCTGTGCCCAGAAACTGGTTTGATTCATGTGTGTCATTCTGTGCTGAGATTCAAAAACACAATCTAAGTATTCTGCATGAATTGATGATTATTTTCCAGGATATGATGGTGATGCTATTGTGGATTCTAAGATGTGCCGTGGAGCTGGGGTGAGGATAAGGATGCATATGTTTCCCCACCTCTTCTACATGGTTCCTCCCGTAGGGAATCATCCAGCATTGTCAGCGTGTGACACCCTTTCCACACCCTTTTACCCAAGTATTAGGATGGTTGCTTTGGTACTCCCTCTCTTGATAGCCCTCATAGGTCTGGATATTAACCTCTGGTTATCCTTCCAGATGCTCCACAATCTCCAGGCAGCCTGAGCCGATCAACTGCAACCAAAAACCGCATTGCTGGCCTGGAGAAGCAGCTCAATATTGAGCTGAAGGTGAAGCAAGGAGCAGAAAATATGATCCAGATGTATGCCAATGGTGCTGCCAAGGTTTGTGTGCTGGCCTGGTCACTGGCCACCTCTTCTATAGCAGCTGTCTAAGGCCGCTCTTTCAGGGATAGGCAATCTGTTGCCCTCCAGATCTTAGGACTGCAACACCCATCTGCTCTAGCCAGCATAGCCTTCCTGAGGGACTGTGAGCCTTGAGATCCAAACATATGGAAGGTACCAGGCCACTTATCCTTGCCCTGTATGAGAACCAAGGTGGTGGGGTGGTTAGAGTGTTGGATTGGGACTTGGGGGATCGGGATTATTTGTTTATACATGTATTTATGTATAGGGCTACTCCCCACTTGGCTATGAAGATCAATGGGTGACTTTGGGCCAGTCCCCGATTCTCAGCTTAGTCTACTTCACTGGGTTGTTGTGAGGAGAAAAATGGAGATGGTTATATAAGCCACTTTGGATTCCTTGCAGGAACAAAGGTGGGATAGAAATATGATAAATACATATGCTCAAGCTACCTGGACACACACACACAAGCTTCCTGGTACTGGGTGAGAACACTGGTCCATCTAGCACAGTCCCACCTACTCTGACAGGTAGCAGTTCTCTGGAGATGTTTTCTAACACTCCTACCTGAGATGCTTGGAATGAAAATGCCACCACCGATGCAGGAATGTTTAGCCTGCTTGTCCCTTGCAGCTCCTTGCTTCTCCAATTGTATGTTTCATTGTGACAAACGGGGAGTTCCTAAACAATTGCCGCAGCAGATAAGTCCTCTTGGTTCACATAGACTGTTAGAAGCTTTCTGAATACACTATTATGAAAAGATGGATCAATTTTACAGCTTGAGGTTATATTTAAAAAAAACCACTGGAAACATTAAGCATAATTGAAAAGGTGTCACTTGTGCCACAAAAGATGACTAGCTATCACGTTCAGCCGGATGGACAACCATTGTCCTCCAGATGTGTGGGACTGTAACTCTTTTAAACGTTACATGCTATTTAGCAGTGCTAGCTGGAGCTGATGAAGACTGTAGTCCAAAGCAACTGGTGAGCACCATGTGGACCACTGCTTATGCAGAGTTACACATTTCATGTGAACTCTTTGGGATTAGGAAGACACCAGTTGGCTGAACTGGTCTCATGATATAATTTTTGTTTATGTTAATTTTGGGAAAGACAAATGTTTTTGTGAATAATCTTGGCTTCTTTGATAGCATGAACCAAATTTGAGACTGAATAGTTTCTGTAACCATAACTGCTCAAGATTTGAGAAATTATACCTGCAAACAGATTAAAAATAATATTCACATTGGAAATAAAAGTAGCTTTGTGAAGCAAATTCCCTTCTTAAGAGGACTCTGTACTTGTAGACTTCATCTCTAGCACCGTGGGGATGCACCTCCAGCTCTGTGAGCAGTGTGCCGAGGAATGGGACCACGGGTTTAAGAAGGAAGTGCACGCAACGTTTAAGGCGACCCAGATGGGCAGGCTGTGACCTTGGATCTGGATCCATTCAAATGGCTAATTCTCTTCTGCTGACTTTTCACCTCACCTTGTTTGCACTTTAGGATCGGAAGCTGCTGCAGACAGCTCAGCAGATGCTACAGGACAGCAAGACCAAAATCAATATAATTCGCATGCAAATCCGCAAGGCTATGCAGGCTGACGAGGTGCAGCTGAATATGGAGGATGGGCAAGGTAAAAGGGAGGATGCCCCTGTACCCTGCAGGCCCTGCTGGTGCAGGCAGGCAGTCCCTTTGCAGAGGCCAACATTCCTGTTTCTCTCTTTAAGCATCCCTTCAGAAGCTGGGGAATACTCTCTGATTGCCCCAGTTCCATGGGCTTGGGGTGCTAGTGTTGGGGTTCTTTCTCCCACTGAGCCTCCCATTACCTCCTGCAGAAGCAACTGCCCTTTCTTGGAGTGTTGGAAGAGGGACCTGAGCTTTTCATGTTACTTGCAGGTAACACTGACCTGAGTGCCATAGAGCTGAGGATTGAGGAGCTGCGACATCATTTCCGGGTGGAGCATGCTGTCTCTGAGGGCGCCAATAATGTCCTGCGACTTCTGGGCTCTAGCAAGGTTCAGGACCGCCATGCCATCTCCGAGGTAATAGACACTTCCCTTGGTTGGGTCTCACAAGGAAAATATATGAAGAATTATGAATGAGTTGGAGAAAGTATATAAACACACACGTACTCAGAAGTTCACATTTCATTGGCCTATATTGTAAGGGCTTTATTTAAATATTTGTAAGAAAATGGTGTGTGTGTTGTTTTCAAAAAGTAGTTTTGTTTTCATTTTGTTGAAAATCAAATTTAAAAAGATGAATGACAGATTTGGGGACAGTAAGCAGTAAACAGTTCCTTTTCCTAGAATTACAGTAAAGTTAACAGGTAAATGTTTAAATCATTGAAGTAACAATTGTAATACAATCAATACATAGTAGATTAAGTAAAACTCCTCTCATCTCTTTCTACCCTCAGTGTACATTAACCTCAGTGTACAGTTAATATACACACACAGCAGGAATGCAGAAACTCAAGTCTAGGAGCCAAATCCAGCTCCACTGCAGTTCCAGGCCAGCCCTCCAGGGTATCACAGATACTATAACCCTTTTCCCCTGGCCCCTGCTTTTGTGCAGTTTTTCCCCTATTCTGAAAAGCTGGAATGCCTCGTCTAAAACTTGGTTAGAAGCATTAAGAACTTTAATCTTAATCATGCTGGTGTTTTTTGTTGTTTTGGCCCCACCACCTTCTTGGAGTGTGGCTCCTGAGAGCTATCTTGAGATGGACTTTGTCTCTCTGGCTGAAAGAGGTTCTGCACCCCTTGTCTTGGGGAAACCTAGTAAAATATTTAAAGAATAGGAGAGTCATCAGCTGCTTGTCACAGGAGTCATGCCATACCTTAATCATCATGGAGAGTATTCATAAATTAAGTCTGGCTATTACTCAGGATGAATTTGAAGGACTGGACTATTAACTTGTTCTTCTCCACTGTTCTCCAGCCTTATTCCTATATTTTATAGTCAGTGTCGTTCATGAGGATACAGCATGTGAATGGACAGACTGTTGCATTTGTATTGCCCCAGTTGCGAGCTGCACTGTCAAAACATGGCCTGGGATCTTTGACAATAAAATGACATGAGAATTAGGAATTCTGGGTCTGTCCTGAACTGGGTCTCCATGGCAAAGTGTGCTGTGTTTCCATATCATTGTTCATATCCCTGGAAGACACAGAGTTTGTACAAGGTTGGATGATGTATGGGTGTTGAAAGAAGGTAGAAGTTGGGTCAGTGCTGCGTGGAGAATAGAGCTATGTGAGGTTGACCCAGTAAATCCAATGTTTGTCATGTTTGATGTTTTTTAGTGTTAGTTTAAAATGTTAATAAAATATATTAAAAAAAGAGAGAATAGAGCTATGTCTGTATCTTACCATCTTGGCTTCTGCTGTAGGCACAAACCAAGCTGAATGAGTCAAGCCAGAAGCTGGACCTTTTGCGACACTCTCTGGAGCAGCGCCTGGCAGAGCTGCCTGAAGGTCATCCAAAGGGCTGCATCATCAAAGAGGAGCTCATCATGGCCTCTTCCCCAGCTTACAGTGTCCGCAATACCACTTCCTACCAACACAACCAGTACAACACCCTCTCAAAGCCATCCCCACTCACAGGTAACTGAATGTTTCATGGGCTTGGCTTCCTCAGCATACTACCAAAGCTCTTTTGACTGAGCATTGCAGCGATACTTGGCCACAATGTCCAGAATACCCTCCTCTCTGAGTTTTTCCACTCCCTAAGTGTCATAGTGAGTAGCCATTTCTACTTTCTAATCAAATCCCCCTCTTCCTTTCCATACATGAGTAGAGTGTTAAGGCTTCTCTTTTCTAGTCTCCTGCTCACAATCTCATAAGTCTGCAGGGATGCATGGTTGTTCTACTTTGAATACTCCAGAGCTGGGATGCTTGGATCTTCTTCCCCTTGGATGCTTAGTTCTCTCTTGTTGGCAGGCACCCTGGAAGTGCAGTTGTTGGGCTGTAGTGGATTGTTGGAGGCTGTCCCAGGACGCTCACGTGGATCCACTGTCTCCTTGCCATGCAATAGTCCTGGTGAAGCACGTCCTTCTTTCATGAGCCGTAGCGGACGAGGGCTGTACAGCCGGAGTGGTAGCGTAAGCGGCAGGACCACCATCAAATCTGAAGATACTAGCAGTGAGTAATACAGGGGAGGATGGCAGAAGGGTTGGCACTAAAAAGGAGATGGGTGTGCCTTCTAGCACTACACGTGATGAATGTCCTTTTCTCTTTCTTTCAGCAGTTTAGTCAGCAGTAAATGGAATTCTTATATTCATGTCTCTTATCCAGTGCTCCTCAACTTTCTAACTTATTGTTCCTGTTGCTCTTGTAGATGAGGTGAGTGCTGTACTGAAGCTGGATAATGGAGTTGTGGGTCAGACAGCCTGGAAGCCCAGTGGCCTAGAAGCTTGGAACCAGACTTTCACAGTGGAGCTGGAGAGGGTATGTCCTAACTTGTCACCTTGCAGGATGTAGTGATGGCAGTCAGTTCGGATGGCTTTGAAAGGGATTCAGATAAATGCATGGAGAATGAGCCTATTAATGGCAACTAGTCCTTTCGGCTGCATGCCACTTCCAGTACCAGAAGTAGTATGCCTATGTGCACAAGATACTGGAGAACATGAGCAAAAGGATGCTGTTGTTATAGTGTCCTATTTGGGAGATTTGCATGAGCCGCTGGTTAGCCACTGTGCAAACTGAATGATGGACTAGATAGATCTTGGTTTGATCCAGCAGGGTTCTTCTTATGATCTTCTTATTTTGTGTGGGTCTTGGTTTGTGCAACACTTCTGAGGGCAATGTGGAAGCAGTGCCTTTCTAATGTATCTTTTCCTTCCATAACAGGCAAGAGAGCTGGAGATCAGTGTATACTGGCGTGATTTCCGCAGTCTGTGTGCCCTGAAATACCTCAAGCTGGAGGATTTCCTTGACAACCAGCGCCATGAAATCCACCTCGAGTTAGAGCCACAGGGCACTCTCCTGGCAGAGGTAAGAAACGGGATTAGAGTTGAGCTGGGATCAGGTGCCTGAAAGTGAAGTAACTGTACACCCAGATATTTTGGTCATCAGAATACCTGACTATAACAGTCAGATAACCCATACATGCAGATGTAAACTAGGCTGTTGTCTGACCCTCCAGATGTTGTGGCCGAGTTAAAAGTGTGTGTTGGTTCTACAAGCCTAAGAACTACCATGTGAGAGTCTTCAGACCCTCCAGCTTGTCCTGCAATCACTTTTGCATTTTGCCCTCTTAGGGAATGGTTGGAGAGGTCACATAACAGGATGGCAAGGAAATGACACAACTATTTCTTGACAGCTCCTGTTATACCAGAAGACAAGAGCTTATCACAAAGACTAAAAGACAAACAAGCAAACTGGGACAGATTGGAAATAGATTTCAGGAATTGCATAAGTCATGGTAGAGAGCCACATATTTAAGCTGCATGTCAGTGACAGAACAATGACCTTAGATGTTGGCATCATAAAGACAGACTCCGTTACGTTACAAATAACAAATCAGTGACAGTGGAGCCAGTGATTAGAGTTAAAGCAAAGAAAGCATACAAACAAGGTTTCAGACAATGAAGGTTTCATATTATAAATGGTGCTGGCTGAAAATCTCAAACGGAGTAGATGGTAAAATATATTGGTTAGAAATGCAAGGCAAAAAATAGTAAAATATAAAGCTAGATTGATTGCAGGAAGTTTAAAGTGCTTTCTAAACAATCTGCATAAAATTGTGTCAGCTATAATGTTTTGAAGCTATAAAAAAGTTGGGTGTGGGGGGAAGCAGATCCTACCAACACTGTAGCTCAGCAAGAAGAATAAAAGAATATCTTTCCTTATAACAACCAGATGCAGTGGTAGAAAGTAGTGTTTGGAAATTGTCACAGGCACCCCTTGCTTACACAACTTCTCTATTCTTTTCATTTTGTGCACATGAATAAAGTCTTGAAACAATGACATTATAATTTTAAAAATCCTTCAGATACTCAAGTTTAGAGGTTGAGCACTTTCCTGTGTATGACTAACATGTAGTCCTTTTAACAAATGCAGTTGCAAATAATCAGCAAAGACTTTCCCTTTCCCCTGAGAGTACAGCAGTGCCCCACATTTTGATCAGTCCTGCTTTCTCTTTAGGCTTAAATAACATACATCTCCTCCTGCCCCGTAATGTATTGGTGTTTTTTAATCTCCCTAATTTTTTAAGTGATCATTTTCTGACATGTTACTGCTTCAAGTAGCCACTCCATTATGTGGGGATGCAATATCCAGTGCTAGTACTCCATTGGAATGGGCACCAATATTGTATAAGTAGATTGTTGACAAAGTCTCTCACTACCTATGGATTTTAATGATTTTTTCCCATAAGCCATAACATATTGTGGTTTGACTAGAGGACTGGGAAAATGCAATTTCTTTATAACAAAAGTACTACCTTGAGAAACACATTTTAAAGCAATTAATAACTGCAGTGCTACTATGCAAAAATTCAAAATAGTCTAGGAAGACTGTCCTTTTATGAAGTGCTGTATTTCACACGGGTGCTAAAATGCAAAATATAACTGGACAGAATAGATTATTCCTTTTAACATCAGGCAGTTTGTCTCTATGGAATAATTTTGCTTCCATGAAAGAATTCATGTAATGATAATTTCTATGTGTTCATGGTTATCCTGGGCATTGGAATGCTACTGAGGGAGACAATTAAGAAAGTGAAACCAAAACATCCAAGCCTTTGTTTGTATCGTCTTTAATTGGGTGACACAACAGTTTCTTTAACCCATTTATCCCACTCCAGAAGTTGCACTATATAGTCCTGCTTGTGAAGCCAGGCTTCAGCTTGGTTTAAGTCACGAGCATTAACTCCCTGCCCTTTAAACCTGTGGAGGTTAGGGGTGTTCATAGCTACTGGTCCTGACAGCTTATGTCCACTATTGGAGGAGGCATGTTTCTCAGTGCCAGTTGCGAGGAACATGTCCAGGGAGCCCCCCCCCCCCCCATGACATCTGGTTGGCCCACTGTGTGAACAGAGTCCTGGACATGGTAAGCTTTGGGTCTGATTCAGCAGGCTCTTCTTAAGCTCTTCAGAAGAGGTGTGCTGCTAAAACCTTTAATTTGCTAATCTTTCAGTGTTGTTCAGTGTTTTTTATCTCCTTGCTTTTAAGCTTGTTTTAACATGCTGTTATTATATGATGCTGTACTTAGGAATATTCAGATGGTTTATATGACTATATGTTTGTTTTGATGTGTGTTAGCAATTGTGTAAGTAAATTTATTTATAGCTGGGCAGAATTGTTTAAGTAAAGTGAGATTATAGGATCTTAATCTAGAGTCTGGGTTTGCAAGTCTGGTTTTCTGAAAGTATCTTACTTGTTAGGAAGCCAGGCAAAACATGAGCTGAAGCCCTCTGTACTCTCAGACAAAGAGGAATCTGTGGTATGGTGCTAGAAATAGAATTTCTTCTTCTAGATTGGGGTGGACAACTTGAGGCTCACCAGAGGTTTGGGCCTTCAGCTCCCATCAGCCCTAGCTAGCAAAAATCAGAGGAATCATGGGAATTGTAAATCAAAACATATAAAGGGCCACACATTTCCTGCCCTCTGGAGACTTCTTCAGTCCCATTCTACAAGAAGTTGCAGTCTGTATCTGGGTCTACCTTATAACCTCCCTCTCAGCCTTTTGTTCTGCAGCACTGTTGCAGCAGCGGTTGCTGGCCAATATGCAATACACCCTTGCCTGGTTTCTGTTCTCACTTGTTGCAGGTCACCTTTTTCAACCCTGTCATTGAGCGCATACCCAAGCTCCAACGGCAGAAGAAGATCTTCTCCAAGCAACAAGGTAAGGAATTGGTGTGGCAGACTGAGAAGTAGGAATGCCAGAAAGGCTGAGTAGAATCTCCACATGGCCTGCACATGTACTTGCCGAAAGCTTAGTTCTGAAGGACTGATGACATCATGCAGTTCCGCCAACAAAGGTTAGCTTGTGAGAGAGAAAACTGGCCTTGGAATTGTGGTGTTGCAGCTCAGACTGCAGTGCCACATTCAGCGAAAAGCAACAAAATCTCAATGTTTTTGTTGAAAAGATAATGAGAAGGGTGAAAGTTGTACAGCAGATTTCACCAACCTGGTTCCCCCCAGAAGTGTTCCCACAATTCCTGATGGTTGCCTGCGCTGGTAGCAGGATGCTAGGAATTGTGATTCATCTCACATGAAGGGCAGCAGGGTAGAGAAGGCTGTTATGTGGCAGATCATGTGAGAAAACATGTCATAAATCAGAATCGGCAGTAGAACCTACCAGCTTCCTCCGTGCAATTCAGTCTTATAGCCTAAATAACTTCCTTGATAATCCTGCATTTAAATACTCTTTTCTATAAGTTGGCACAATGCTACAGAAACAACGTGAACAATATATATAACAATATATAGGTATTTCAAGTATTCAAATTGCCTTACTTTGTAATCTCAGTAATCCACAGTTCACCTGTAAAAGTGGACAGAGGTGAACCCATATTGTGGGGTACAAACTTCAGGCTCCCCAGATGTTGGATTTCAAGTCCCATTATTTATTTATTTATATCTATCTATCTAATTTATTTATATAAGTTCTTACCATTTGGGCCTGCTGACTTAAGCTACTGAGAGTTGAGTCCCGCAGTGTCTGGAGGGCTGTTGATTCCCCACCCCTGCATATTGCCAAGGGCTAGAGATGAGAGGGAAGTGGCTGGCCTAAGGCTATATAGTAGGTTTGTGGCTGATGCAAAATTTGAACTGGGGATTTTGCAGCTCATGCCCTTGGCCATTATGCTGTGTCAGCTCACAGATATCTTGTGTGGTGCATTTGATTTCTTCAGGAGAACTTGCATTTATGTACACAGTTACGTTCTCGGATTTGGAGCACAAATGTGTACGCTGAGTGGGGAGATTTTGTTTTAATCTGAGATACTTGTGGACAAAAGCTTTTCATGACTGCATTGTTAAACATTTGCATTAGCAGAGGCAGGTCAATTTGCAACTCCTCTTGATTCGTTGATGTAGTACTAGAGCCCAAGGTCATCCAATTAACTTCATTAGCTGGAGGTGTATAACAAGCAAAAGGAAGTATTTCTTCATATAGAGCATATGGAACTGGCTGCGATAGGGTTTGGTGATGGCCTCACAAAGGAAATTAGACAGACTACTTGCAGATAAAGTTGCCAGTGATTTCATGCTACCTCCAGCATCCGAAGCAGAATGTGTTTCTCTATGCCAGTTGCTGGGAAACAGTGGGAGTGCCCTTGTCTTCAGCTTGTGCTTATGGGCTTCCCAGAGTCAGGCTACTATGGAAAATACCAGGAAAATACCCTGGATAAGACCTTGATCTGATCCAAAAGGACTGCTTCTCTGCCTGTCTCCTTCTCAGGGAAGGCTTTTCTGCGTGCCCGTCAGATGGACATTGATATTGCCACATGGGTACGACTCCTGCGCCGCATCATCCCCACTGCCAACACCACAGGCACTTACAGCCCCTCAACACAGATGCCTCCAACGTCTAGCTCAGAAAGTAGGCATGGTCTCAACTCTGGGTAGGTGTTCACTATACTTGCTGTGTAGATACCTTTGCAGGGTAATGATCATGGCTTCTGCAAGAAGAAAGTCCAAGCTTACTTCATTCTTTTTACATTTTTTTCCTTTGTTGTCAGAGTCTATGGAACTCAAGTTTGTGGGGGACACTCTCTTTGAGGGGGAACATTTTGATAACCCCATTCTTTGGCCACTAGAAGCCCCACCCAAGTTCCTTCAAGTTCATAGGCCCTTAGTAAAATGCCCCCAGTTTTCGTCAAAATGGTTGGACATCCTGTGTGCTCTTGTTTCCATGGAAGATAAGGATATAAGACTCTCGAATTCTTTAATTCACAGCTCTCTCATAGCTGGGCAGGGTCCCATGTCCCTTGACAATTTCTCCTCGGGGCCCTGCTGACCAGGCAGCCATGGCCCTTCCCCTAAGTAAGCTCTTGCCTTTCAGCTTGGCATCCCCGTACAGGCCTTGCTCAGGCTTTAGCCAGCAAAGTGCCACTTGCTGATGAGATGTTGGGAGGCCTGCCTGTTCTAGGGGACAAAGACCTTGGTGCTGCTTGTCCCAGCTTCTCATTAGGATGAGCCCCCATCCCCCCTCCTGATGATTTTGTCTGGGATTCTCCAGATTGGCATTTTCCCCTCTCCAGGGACATTGCCATTGAGAAGCTGAGCTTGGAAGGGGATCGAGTACAAATCGAACAGGTGGACCAAGATGACAATGAACTCCCCGGGAAGGTCTTGCTGGTGAGTGTCTTTGCATTCTTCTCCTTCCTGGATTTGAAGCTAATCCTCGCCTCCTGTGTCATAAACAGCAGTGAGTTACCTGAAGTTGCTGCCTCCTGTGATTTGTTCATATGTCTGTTTCTTCAGTCCTCACGAGCTGGGGAGGAAGTTCCCTTCCAGGTGGAGCTGGGCCCAGGAGGTGAGGCCAGAGGATCTGACGGTAGTTTTCACAGGTAGGGGACAAGCACCTGCCCTTCGAATGCTCTTGCATTCAGGTCCATTGAGATTTGTCGCTCGGCCACTTTAATTACATCTCCTTTCTGTGTGAAAGGCTCACCTTTAACCCTGTCCCCTGGAGTGACTGACTTGGTATGTTGTGCCTAGAACCCTCCTGTCTCAGCATTTCATGCCCACAGACCTTGAAATGGCACTGAATAGCGTTGTCTCCAAATTAAATGCCAAGTATCTTAGGGCTTTTAAATAAAACTGTTCCCTCTCCCTCTCTCTCATATCCCACTTTTTTGCTCTTGCGAGGAACTCAGAGTGGCTTACATGATCTTCCTTTTCCCTATTTTATCCTCTCCATTTTTATTTAACACTGCAACAGATGCAGTTGTGGCTGGATCCAAATTTCTGTACTCTTCTCTCTAGGAATTGCTTCATTAATATATACAAAAGATTGTTGCTTGAAAATAATGTTTATTAGAGTGCTGTGTTGAATGTGGACGGGCAAATGATGCAAGCACTCAATGGATATCAATCTGATACCACTGACAAGTAGCTTAACTCCCATCATCTTCTGGAATGCCAGACTGTGCTAGGTTCAGCTTGGAAGCAGGACTTATGGGAGTTGAACCTATTACACCGCAGGGCAAAGTATGGGGAAAAGCCTTGATATCAGATGTTTGCTTTCTCTCTACATGCCATACACCAGCCCTGCATTTGGTGATATAACTCTGTGGGTGAGTGATGGTAGGCTTGAACCAATTAAATCCTCTGCACCCACCTCAAAGAGGCCTTTTCATCCATGTGCTTGCTCAAAAGAACCTTATTTTAGTCATCTTCTTGACAAATGTTAAGGTCTTTTCAGCCAGTTTCAATACATCTTTGAAGGAACTATGTTAGGAACCTATTTTCCCACTAGATTAGTCATACTTGGACAAAGAGCAACAAAGGAATGCCTGACGTTGATTATTACAACTCATTATCCTTCCTTGATGACCCCATGCTCTGTCTGTGTGGAGTTGCCATTTAGATTTGCCCTTTTATCTTGCAGCAGCCACTTGAGAAAAACACCTCTCAGTATGGATGATTTTCGTTTTGTAGCTGTGCTGGGCCGTGGTCACTTTGGCAAAGTAAGTATAACATGCCCATGGGAGGTCAAGTAATTCTGTCTAAGACCATTATCAAGACGTACACCTGGCTCTCCTTTTCTTGTCAGACTCAAGAATATCCACCTGTAGCAGAAGCGGGGATAGAAACCAGTAGTCTTGGCTTCTAGTCTCTTTTACTTGAGCCTGTTTTGATGTCTTAGTTTGCCTCTTCAGGATTCTTGCCTGCTGGCTCTGATCACTGATTTATGCTACCTGTCTCACTGGCATAGGTGCTATTGTCTGAGTTACACCGAACAGGGGAACTATTTGCTATTAAAGCCTTGAAGAAGGGGGACATCGTTGCAAGGGATGAGGTGGAGAGGTGAGTCTGTCTTAGCAGCCAGGGAAAGTCACAAAGCCACATGGACAAGGGCATTAGCCACTGCATCCCCTTCTTTGATCTTTATCTTTCTGATGCTGCAGTAGTGCTGGTGGGTGATAAGAACCCTTATTGTGCTGTGTTCTGCTTCTGTTGTCTTGCTAGAAAGAGAGCATGAGAGTGTATATGCAAAGGGGTACAGAGGGGATGAAAAAGCACAAGCAGGTTAGCATTCATAATTAGCACTGCACTTATGGGGCTCCAAAGGGGAGGAGGAAGAGGTTCCAGCTGGTTGTGCAGTGGCTCCAAAGCTACTCTCACCTCTCATGCCCACCCATCCCCTCACAGGTTCCCCTCAGCTCTGCTCCCCTATTGCACCAGGTCCTCTGTTCACTCCAGCAGAAAAAGCTGGATCCATCTTGTGCCCAGATCCAAGCATCCACCCAGCTTCCTCTAACACAAAGCCACCTCTCGTGTACGCACGTGAGGGTGGAAATGCAAGCACATTGATTGGCAAGAGACTGGCACCTGCACGCAAGTGTTTGTTTGTACACTCAGTCTCATCTCAGTGAGGTGGCTTTCTTACCCTCACCTGGATTTGTGGATGCTCTTCCCTTGGGTGTATGTGTACACGCACACGTGCATGCAAGGACACACATGCACACAGACTCACATTTGTATGGGTGTACACAAATGCAGTTGCAAAGATGGTGGTAAAAATGACTGGGTGTCAGCCAGCATATGGTTGTTGCCCATCTTGACATGATCTTCCTCCCTTTCTACCAGCCTGATGTGTGAAAAACGGATCTTTGAGATTGTGACTCATGCACGGCACCCCTTCCTAGTGAACCTCTTTGCCTGCTTCCAGACACCCCAGCATGTCTGTTTTGTCATGGAGTACACAGCAGGTGGAGACCTCATGATGCACATCCACATGGATGTATTCACAGAACCACGTGCCACGTAAGTGCTGGGTCGGGGAGAGGGAGGCACGCATTACAAAATGAAACCATGTTAGGAATCCTCTAACATCTCAATCTTGACTGGTCCCACTGTAGATTCAGGTCCAGACAAGACTGAGATGCTGCTAGTGCATGATTCTTCTGACCGGATGGAGCAAATCAACCTGTTCTGGGTGTGGTCACACTCCCCTTGAAGGAGTGGGTTCATCTGTTCAGTTGGTGGCCCAGCTACACTGCTATTTGCATAGGGATAGCCTGATTTCTGTCGTCTATGTCCTGGTAATCTCTAAACTAGATTACAGCAATGCACGTATGTGGGGCTGCCCTTGAAGACTGTTCAGAAGCTGTGGCTTGTGCAAAATGCAGCAGTCAGATTAATAACGTGGACCAAAGGGTCTGAACACATAATACCAATTCTGGCTTGCTTGTGTTAGCTGCCTATACGCTTCCAAGCTCAATAGGTTTTAACCTATAAAGGCCTACACTGCTTGGGGTGACAATACCTGACATAACATCTCTCTGAACCATGATCTACCTGTATAAGCTAATCAAGAACTGGGGCCTGCCTCCCATTGTCACCTCTGAGGGAAGCTTGACTGGTAGCAACAAGAAGGTGGGCCTTTTTCAGTGGCGTGCGCACACACACACGCATGCCCATTCATGTGCACACATTATGGAACAGGCTCCCTGCTGAGTCCTATCTGGCACAAACTTCAGTATCTTTTTGGCACTGAGTTAAGACTATGACAGGGCATCTAATTAGTTTTATATTTAATTGCAATGTTACATCAACTGCTTAACGGGTCCTGTGACTTAATCTGAGTAAGCTATTGCACCTTTTAAAAAACAGTTTTCAATTTAACTTTTAAATTTTGTGCTGTATTTTTGTATTTTTTGTTATTTAATGTTTATTGTATCAACATTGTATTTTATCTGTTGTTAAGAACTGCCCAGAGAGCTTCTGCTATTGGGCAGTATAGTAGTGGAGGTGGTGATGAGGATGATGATGATGATGATTTTCCCCCTGCAGATTTTATGCGGCTTGTGTTGTTCTGGGGCTGCAATTTCTTCATGACCACAAAATTGTATACAGGTAAGTAAGGCCATGAGGGCCAGCTTCCTAGTTAATTCCGTGTCCACAGCCTTTTCCACACTCTTTCATATTGACCTGCTTCATACTGATATGCACCATCAACCCATTGGCTTAAAAACAAAAGGGTTGCCTCTTTGCTGCAGCACACAATCCATGATCATCACCTTTGTAGACTGCAGCATGATGTGCAGACCTGAACTTTTGTTCTTGGGTTAACTCCTGGGTGGTTCAGCCTCTAAACAACCCAGTGGTATCACACATTACTCTACACAAACTAGCAAGGGGCGAATCATGGGTTCTGCTGTAAAGTGGGAGGCAGGTCATTGCTGGCAGCATCCCCAGCAGCCCCGTTACCTTATTGCAGTACCTCTTTTCCATTTCACGAGAGTAGTGGGTGAGCAGGGAGAGTGTTGTATCCCTTATCTCTCTTCTCTAGGATGTTGGTGTCTATACCCTGCCACTGAGAGTATAAACTATAATGCAGGATTCTCATATTACACTGATGCTTCAGTAACTCTGTAGCCCTTCTTTTGTATCCACGGGTTTCTGCCAATTATGGCTCTTTCTACCTAAATGTCTTTTATTTTGCAGGGATCTGAAGCTGGATAACTTATTACTGGACACAGAGGGTTTTGTGAAGATTGCAGACTTTGGCCTCTGCAAGGAAGGTAGTTGTTTGGGGTGGGATGAATCCTTCTATAGAATGCATAGGATCCTCTGTATCAAAATGCTAACACAATACTAATGTATTGTGAAATACACTTGCAGAACTGGTATCACAAAACTTTCCTGGTTAGTGCTAAACTGATTTGCAGCTGTTCCATGAAAACAAGGGCCTGAGGGTGGAATGATCTGTCAAGTGAGAAATAAGGGGGCATCTATTTTGCCAGGATGTCTTGCCCAGCTCACTTTGGATGAAATCCAGTAGCACTGTCTAGTGCACAGGGGCATTAACATTAGCAATGAGTAATAAGGGAGAACGTCCCTCTTCCATTTCTTTGCTTACACCTTAGCCCAAATATTTCTAGAGGCTGGCTCTGGGCACTTTACAGAAGAGTGTAGATGAAGGACTTTTATGGTAATACGTTTCCTCTGTCCTGCCAGGAATGGGCTATGCTGACCGCACCAGCACATTCTGTGGGACACCAGAGTTTCTGGCTCCTGAGGTGCTGACAGACACATCATACACAAGAGCAGTTGACTGGTGGGGCTTAGGTGTACTTATCTACGAGATGCTTGTTGGGGAGGTGAGTTCCACCTGCATGGCCATGGAAAACTGAGTGAATGCGTGTAAGAAAGTTTGAAGCTAGCAGAACTTGAACACATCAAGGGATATTAAACAAGACTTGGTCTTCACAGATTGAAGAGATGTATATAATGATTTGAATAGGACTGTTTTGTGGGGAGGTTGATATAGCAAGTTGTGAGAAACACCTGGGTATTGAGTCTTTCTGCAGGGACTAATATAGATAGGAGTGAGCATGCATGGAATTTATTCTGAAGGAGATTGAGAGGACCAGCTAAAATAATAGACCCTTCCTGCTGACCCTACCTCAATTGATCTTGTAGTCACCATTCCCTGGAGATGATGAAGAGGAGGTATTCGACAGTATTGTCAATGATGAGGTGCGCTACCCACGTTTCCTTTCCACAGAGGCCATTGGCATCATGCGCCGGGTGAGTCTATGTGCTTCTTTGTCTGACCTGGAGGTCGATAGTTTATACAAGCAGATTATGGTTCGGAGCCAACCTGTGAGAAAGGATTTATACTAGGGCAGTGTAACCTGAGGGAAATGAGTTCAGAGTCTTGACTTGAGGGTATAACATTCTGTGTAAGTCTTTGGTGAAAAGGACTTGTAGAAGTGATCCCTGAGTGATATAAGAAATCCATAAGAGCTACCTAGGATGCTATTCCTCCCGTACATACACACACAGCTCCTCCTGGATTGGAAGAGGAGATTGTGGGTAGAGGTTGGGTAACTGTGCTTCCCCCTGTGACATCCCAATATGTTTTTTTTTTCCCACTCAGCTGTTGCGGCGGAACCCAGAACGGCGCCTGGGCTCCAGTGAGCGTGATGCAGAAGACGTGAAGAAGCAGCCATTCTTCAGGGTTAGTATGAGTCTGTCTCTACTTTTTCTGTGGCTCTACTTTTCTTGCCTACTTTACTTGTTTATCTCTATTTTTTCCCTTCAGGATACACTGAGAAAGCCCTACACAATATCCTGATAGCTAAACACACACACAGTGGTCTACCTTTCACTGGGGCTATTCTGTAGCCCCTTACCAGCATCATCAGGGAAAAGGTTATGTCGTGACCGCTTTTCCCAAAGGCATCTAGTGGCATGCCTGCATATACCAGTTGCTGAGGAGGTTTGAGCAAGAGGGTGTCCTGCTTGAGGGATCCTGTGCGATGCTGCTTTGCCGCCGTGTGTGCAGAGTGGTAGACTGGATGGGCATTCGGTCTGACCCGACACGGCTTTTCTTACATTCCTACGTTCGCCCCTGTTCTTACGTTCACCACCTCTGAAGATGACTAATTATATTATGACATACACTTTCATGTATTAGCACAGAGATGAGTAAGCTTTTCAGGATGAAGGCTGAATTTCAACTCAGGAAAGTTCTCAGGGGCTGCCTTCCAGTGGTGGGTGGGGTTGAAGTGCCAGAGCAGGGGGACCAAAGATGATGGCCCAGCTAAAGCGCATTCTTACCCATTTTAAGTGCAAGGTAATGGTCTGCCCCACCTCTCCTTCAGCCACCCCTTTGCACCTATTTTGCTGTGTTCTCTGCTGTGATGGCTGTAGTCCCTTTTCTTTTGTGAGTTTTGGGATATTCTCTTGAATTGATGATACTGCCACTTGCAGCAGTCTTTCAAAATTATCAGCTGTCAATCTGACAGAAAGGTGGTTCCTTGGCAAAAAGTTAGCTTTGAGAAGAATCGCTCGCAGCAGCAGGTCATTCCAAGCAGGGATGCTGTATTAAGTGCATGTCTCCACAGTGCTGGGCTGCATTACTTACACATAGTCTGTAGGACTCTGGAATAGTCAGATTGCACTTTGCCTGCACTGATGTTCTGCAGTTTCAACAATTAGTATTTTTTTAATAGAGATTTTTATTAAGGTTTTAAACTAAAAACTAAAAAACATCAATCATCAAATACATCGGATGTACGGGGTCAGCCCCCTATAACATATCTTTTTAACATTCTATAATCATATTCAAATTGATTTATAAAAATTTAAAAAATCTTTAAATCTAAGCCAAGTCCCATTTCTCCAGCCAATCATAAAAAAGGTCCCAAGTTTGACAGAAGTCAGTATCTTCTTTCTCCTTCAGTAATAGAGTCAATCTGTCCATTTCTGCACAGTCCAGAATCTTTTTTAAAATCAGTTCCTCCGTGGGTAGTTTCTCACTCTTCCAGTATTGAGCAAGTGTAATCCTCGCTGCTGTGATTAAATGTAGCATCAAATACATTTCTTGTTTGCTAATATTTTCTGGTATAATGCCTAACAAGAAAATGTCAGGTTTAAAAGCTAAGGGTAACAATTAGTATTGAAAGGCTGGTGCCTCACCTACTTCAGCCTTGGAAAGTGTGGCAAAGTAGTCACTTTCCAATGCTATTAGGTCTTTGTATCACTCACTGAATTTTATCAAGCAAGTTTGTACATCATGTATTGTATATTCTGCCACTGACCCTGTTCCCGAAAAGCTGGAAAATGAACTGTGTTGCACCTTGCTATCTGTGGGAACATTAACTTTGCTTCAAATATTATATAAAGGGATAGCAGTATTTGGGCCTTGCAGTTACTTTAGCAAAAGTAGCACTTTCAAAGACTATTCTAAAAAGCAAACTTACACATGTTGACTCAGAAGTGACCAGGAAAGATTTATAGGCAGTAAGGAGTTAAACTCCATAGTCTGATGGAATTGCCTATCTGAGAATACAAACTGCCGAGGAGACTGAAAGTCGCTCCAAGATCGCCACACTGGAGATGGCTGAAAGGGAAGAGGGACAGAAAAGACTGAAGAGCCCCAGAGAATCCCAATCATTTCTGGAGTGCTCCGAAACTGAGGAAAGAATCAGAGGAGGGTCAGAAGCTGCCACAATTTAAGTGCTCCAGTAGTCTGAAAATTGATAGGAACAACTGAGGGAAGAGGGGAAAAATCAAAAGGAGGACTGTATTTTCTGAAGGGGGTTATGTCAAGAAGGAAAAGCCAGATTGGGGAGCTCTGTGTGCTCAGCATTTCCCGTCACTGAACTAGAGTCTGTCTTCATGCAGCTGATGAAGTGGACTTTACTCCACAGAAGCTTAGGCCATAATAAGTCTTGTGGCAGCTTTAAAACTTCCTTGTGTTAGGGATGACTTTATCTTTCCCTAAGTCTGGATACAAGTTTTTAATCACATTAGAGCTGTATAGATTATTGAGACATTATTTTAGTATATGAAACAGTTCCTCAAATGCATGCTATATAGAAGGTAAGTACTGTTGGCTAGCAGAATTCTTGTAACTAAAAATTGTCTTTAACAAGTGAGTTTTCCTGTTTCTTTATGCACAGCAGCATCTCCCAGTGGTGAGTGATGGAGAGCTACAGCAATTTGCAGGTTGTAAGGAGAAAATCCCTTGCCCCAAGCCTGCTGGTTTATTCCGCTGCTCTTAGTCCAATGTCCGCTACATCATTACAGCACCCTGTAGCTTCTCTTGCAGGTTGAAGTAAAGAACTCATTGTGATTTTACAGTTCTTACTGAGTTTTCATCTCTCTGTCTCTACAGAGCATTGACTGGGAAGCCCTGTTGACTCGTAAGATCAAGCCACCATTCGTGCCAGTTATTAAGGGCCGTGAAGATATCAGCAACTTCGATGAGGAGTTCACAGCTGAAGCAGCCATGCTGACTCCGCCCCGTGAATCACGACCCCTCACACAAAAGGAGCAAGACTCCTTCAAGGATTTTGACTATGTTTCCAATGCCTGCTAGCTCTGGAGTGGGGGCAGTGAGATCCCCCTAACACCGCCAGCTGCATAGGGCAGGGCTCTGCTCCACCAGAGACTCAGATGCTTACTAGCCCTGCCTGCTAGCTCCAGGAGTGGGACTGGGAAAGCCCAGCCACACTGCCAAACTCATGGGGTAGAGTAATGTCCACCAACATATGCCAGCTCTGGGATTAGACAGGGACTGTCCCGGAAATACTTCTGCACCCCGCAGGACACAGTATCATTCAAGCAGAAACTTGGGACACTTTCTAGTTCCAAGGGAGGGGCAGAGAGAGAGAGAGTGTGAGAGTGAGTGAGCAAGTAAGAGAAAGTCAGCCCAGTATAACAGGCACTTTTGAAACACGAGCAGGTGAGTCTCCATGATAGCACCTTTTTCTCCACCGATTCCCAAACTTTCTACTGAAGCAAGCAAAACTAATTCTCCACTGCTAGAAAGAAAAACATCAGTGTTGGAACCACTTGAAACCAAAGGGCCTTTCTCTGCCCTAGCATATGCTTGTGAAATATTTCTTTTTACAAACAATGTTGCAAAGAAATGGCTTGCCAATCTGATTGAAACTCATTGTTTCAAACACTTTACCCAGAAGGGAAACGCTTCCTGTCCTTCTAAGCACCACAGTCTTGTATCTATCTCTAAAAGTCTCCAGAACATACAAGGGACTCAAATTACTGATGGACAAACTCCTTGGCACAATTTGAAAGCAGCTCTGTGTTTACACACTTTCCAAACAAGTGTTTGGAAAAAGTTCACCATTTTCCCCACCAAGAATTCTCTCAAGGTTCATAATGGTGGAAAATGGACATTGATACTGTGCATACACATTATTATATTGCTCCTGGGGGATTTTAGATAAATGTAATCTGCCCTTTACCTACTCCTGAGCACCAAAGTGCTATTTGGAAATTTATAACCACACTGAGAACAAACTTTCCTGGAAACTAGAAAGTGTTTTAGGTCTTGATGGGAACATCATAACAAGTTTTCAGGGGAAAAAATCTCAAACATCGATGTATAGATTACTGCCACCTGACAAAGGGTTTCTTAGTTGGTAGCCCTAGTCACACAAACGATGGTATTGAAATAAGCACACAGCAGCTAGTTCTCAGTCCTTGGTTTGCTGACCATGCATGATCAGAAGCACATTGAATACTCTGAGCTGAACTTCTCTGAGAAAATGGCACTTGATGAATACCAAGTACTGCAAGATAGGCAAATTTGTTTACTGTACAAGGAAGTGACTGACTTCAGCAATCTCACTTGTTCAGATCTACCATTTTGAAATGAACTAGCCTATGTTCTGCTTCCATCCTATGACCCCCCTCTCTCAGAAGTCCATCACCATGCAAAAGGCATATCTCAAACGTAGGGAGAGGAGTTGCTCAGACTCACTCTGGGTGCTTCCAAGTTGGAAGCTCCTAGTACTACCAGTATGAAGACATTGTACAGCTGTTCTGTCTTTCCCTCCTTAATGGATTTGCAGTTGTAAGAAAAACGGTGGATGAAGCATTGAGAAAATACAGGAGGGTTGTCAGTGAAAAAACATCTTGTATCCCCTGTGAATTCAGGGCGATTGCACAATAAATGCTTCATCCATGCACCCTCCATGCCCACGCACCTCTCCTGGTTTGGTTTGTGTGACTCCCCCCCCCCCCCGCATCTTCCCTGCCCTGTTTTTCAATGCTTGCACAATCCTCATCCTCGCTGTCTTTGTCCAGTGACTTGAGAGCTCAAGAATTCACTGTGAAAGAGGCAATGCAACTATGGGAAACAGTTTGTGAATAGTCTTCTCTGGTGTAAGCACCAGTTTGGCCCCAGCATAATTGCCTTAAATGTGCAGACAGGCATAATCTTCCCAAACAGCTAGTTCTTGCTGAAGCATCCCCCTTTAGCCTACTTCTACATCCTTCCACATACTGCAAAATTACTGTCACTTTTCTGCAATGCCTGTTGGGAGAAGTCCTGTTTCTCTTAACCTGTCCTGGGTACTATTTGTTCACTTCCTACAAGTGCCACCTGAGATTCTGAAGTGTAGATACATAGGTGGGGATAACAGGACTAAGCAGAGATGGTCGTCTCTGAAGGGTAATACCTTTTTTTTTAAATGCTGGCAACCTATGCCAGTGCTATGAGCTACATCTAAGAAGTTATGTTCTTCATATCCTACTACTGCTGTGATGTCCTTTTATATATGATTAGTTAATCTGGAATAACTACTATCAGATGGTTCTTTACTCAATTACTAATGTTAATTGGAAACTTCACCCATAAACCAACATGTATCACTTTGATTGTGAGTATGGAAGGACTGTTAAGATCAATGAACTCAGATTAGTTACTCCTTGAATGCACACACTTAAAATCAAGGTAACATCTCCAGTTTGACTAAGAGGCTGCAGGAGCCCACTGTCCCCTTACTGTATATGAGCACAAGCCCTCGTTGCTAATACAGAACAGTGTGCTTCCTGATACGTTCTCTAGCATCCTCCAATTGATTCTCAGAGGATGCATCTCTTGTTAAGTGTTCCTAGCTTTTTCAACCTCTCATTTCCCCCCAATCACAAGCAATCCTGTTTCAGGATTGAAAAACAAAAGCTGGCAGCTATTTGACTTTGAAGAAACCATTTCAGTCCACAAAGGTGGAAAGAATTTTAGCTTAGCTTTTGTGTGTATCAAAGGAGTTGGGAAGACTAGGACTGAGGATTTGTTTGCTTTTCGTAGGGAAGAAAGGTTCTGCTGCTTAGTGTCTGCTGAGAGAGAATGTAGGGAAATCTGAGGGCCGGAGCAGAACTCAGGCATATATTACTTGTTTAAGTAGCTTGGGGATTCTTTTAATTCTGCCTTGGTCCTTGTATATCTTTGCTTCTCATGGTTGGTGTCCTTTCTTTTTTACACTTTGCTGAAGGCCCAGTCTATTCCTTGCTTTAAATAGCAGTGCAAACTTCTTTAAAATCAGGACTTCTGGTTTTGTCCTCATATGTGGGAAGGGGGTGTTAGTATATCCTAAATTATGGAGAGCTTACATTCAAGGCTGCACTGTTTCAGCCTGAACTCTGGAAGGAGCATGAGCTTCTGTTACCAGATACACTGTTAACTTTCTCTGTGCCTCTTTCTCTGCTTACACTGCCTCTTCTGTCTTTCCTAGGAGCATGCCCCAGCTTAGTATCTGTTTGGATTCTGTGCTAGGAGGCAGTATCATGCTACAAACTTGAATCATTGTGTTGTCTGCTGCGTTTCCTTTCTTAATGTAACTACCTCTGTTATCTGACCAGAACCACACTGTGGCCATGAAAAGTTGCCTACATTCTTCACTATTCTACTATAAACCCTGAGTTTTAAACTGTAGACGTAACAGTACAAGTCTACCTAATCTTAACAAAGGTATATTTGGAGGATATCTGACACAAAGTTTGGCAGGTGAGCAGTGTCATTTTTCAGTCAAGAGGCAGGACTCCTACATACTATTCCTACCCTCCCTTAGATTTAGAATCAAGATCACTAGGATCCCATTCTTAGTAACACTTGGCTTCCTGAGTAACTGGCAGAGAAGAAGAAACCAACATGGACCTCCATTAGAAAGCATGTTGTTCTATTTGGATATGGGATACCATGTCCAGTCTACAAGGTCTTTGAATTATGGACAGAATGTGTGCATTACAATTAAACAAAAATAGTATATTTTGCTATAGAGCAAGGAAACCTTGTAAGCAATCTCTGTTTTGGGACTGCATTAGCAAGTTTGCAATATGATACATAGAATTCTGCACTTGAAAGTCTCAACTTTTATTTTTCTAAAATCAAGTTTCTAATTTTTGAACGTTCCAATCATATTGAGTGTATATGCTAGTGGAAATCTCAGAAGCTGTAGGAGCAAATGCTTTCTGTAACTTGAAGTTCAGTCCTCTGCATAGCTCTCTGCCTACTCAAAGTAACTAAGGAAACACGTGTGTACTTTTTGTAATGTACGCAGTTCATACAACTCAAGCTAACTTGGTTTAGACACTTGATTTTGTCCCAAAGCACCTAATCCTGGCCTAGGGCACTAGGCTGAGAATGCAGCATGAAAACGCTCATTTTGCTTACTGTACAGGTGGGGTGGGATGTTTGAGGGGTGAACAGAGTTCTTAAATATTAAATGATTTCTCGGGGTTAATTTTCTTCTGATTAAATCCTGCACTCTACTGTGCTCAACTCTATCCACATTTATGGTTTACCATTACAATGACTCCCAGTTCAGAGAAGAGATTATAGGTTGTGTAGCAAGCCTGTTCCTGCCATTCATCCTGCCATGTAGATGATACTCTGAGACAACCTGGAGTCCCTTCTTATAAGGAAAAGCCCTCAATGCATATTGGGCCCATCATGCCACTGGAAAGCTACAGATGTTCAAATAAACATCAGCCTTTGCTTTCAGAAGGAACACAGGGCAGCCTCACTTTTAAAAGTTGTGAAATTAGGTGTTCATCCTGCCTTTTTCATGTACTACAAAAATGCTTCAGTCTGTGTACGTTGCTGGAGTAGGTAACTACTAACAAGTAGGTGACTTCTCTGTATTGCTTGGATTGCTTCTCATGAAAGTTGACCTTGCTCTATTGGATATAATAATGAACCGCTACACGCCTGCCTTTTCCCATTGGATTCTGTGGTTTTACTGCTACAGTACTTACTTATTCCAAAGATGAAGCTACCTGTCAGCACCTGAATGACAACACCTGGTTGAACATCAACAGTAAGGCTAGAATGCCTTTGTGTATTCCTATTGCTTTACAGTTATTCTCCCTTTTTTTTCTTGCAAGAATCCAGGGTGGGTTACATGATCCTCCTGCTTTACTCTCAGAACTGCAGTGAGGTAGGGTAGGTTGAGAGTCAAAGACTGGCTCAAAAGCACCCAGTGAGCTCCATGGCTTGGATCCATTGTGGGATCCAGACTGGTCTGGATCTCCTGAGTCCCAGTCCTGCCCTCTAACTGCTGCACCACACTGGTATTAGCTCCTGGGGCAGATTCAGTCAGACATCCTCTGCCCAGCACTGTACTTTGATGTTTAACATGCTGTTTTTAAAAAGGATTTCAGGTCAGTTTCCTATCTGGCCTACCTACCTCATACTCTATTCTGCACAGCTAAAAATGACAGGAAGAATTCATCATGCACAGGCTGATGCCTAATGTGTACCTAATAATTTAGTCTTAGTCTGCACTCTGGCCTCTTATTAAGCCTTCCTGCTGTGATATCCACATTGCATGGCATACAGTGGGATATTCCTGCCACTATCAATAATAATGTGTGCCTAATAAGTTTCCTTGGATTTTTTTTTTTTTTTTGGTTTAATATAACTGTACTTCCTCAAGAGAAAATAATGCAATTTCTTGTGGCAAAATCCATAGTGGCTCAGAATTGCAGTGGCACCTGCAGTGGTTTCATAAAGGAGCAATTACCACTGTTAAAGGACCCGGTTGTTCACAGCTGAAACAGCCATACCAAGTCACTTTTAAGAGAGATGAGGTGGAGAAGGAACCTTGAGCCCGTAGTCCTATACACTCGAGAGGTACCACTGATGAACACAGTCATCCGTCCTGTTATAACTCTTTTTTTTTCAAGCGGGTGGTCTTAAAAGGCACTGATCTGCTAGTTAAAGAAAACCAGTGTTAGAAAAGCAGAATGAAGGAAACCTGCCGGAATGTATTTGATTCTTGGTTCACTCGAATGTTATGGCGGCTACTGAGGCGGCATACCGAAAAAACACAGCTGCTGAGTGGAGCAGCACTTCAATGCCCATCGCGAGGGGCAGCTACTGCTTCAAGTGAACCGAAATCAACTTGCCCCCGACCTTTGCAACAGGGGGAGGCGGGGGAGGGGCATGCTGCACAGCATCCCACGGCTGACCCCCTTTAAGAGTCCTTTTAGTTCCGAGCATGGCCAGCCCCTTGGAAAAGAGGGCTCTACCACAAGTTCGCAAGCGGGGCTGCAGCAAGGCTTCCCGGGAACGCAGCACTCGCACCTTTGCAAGCAAGGAGCAGCAGCACAAGTACTAATAGCAAGTAGTTTGGGGTGCGAAGAGTTTAGGGTCCTTCGTACATTTAAAAAAAAAAACCTCCGTAAACGCCCAGCCCCCCCCCCCCCCCCAGTGCCAATCACAGGCCACGACTCCCTGCGCTATTTCTGGTGCTCACTTGCTGCAACAGCAGCAGCAGCGGGCTAGCTCGCAGCGCTCTTATCGCCTTCCGCCGCGCAGCGAGCGACTTGGGGGGACTGGCGCTCGAGCCCGACCGGCTCCGCAGGCAGAGTCCCGGCGGGTTCCTGTTTCCTGCCTTCAGGCGGGGCCCTTGCCCCGCCCACTTCCCGTGCTCGTCTTAAAAACAACAGCCTTGCACTGCTTTTCGCCCATGGACGAGACTTCCTGGGTAAGCCCTGAAGCCCTTGCTAGCTCCGGTCCAGCGACAGCAAAAACTAAAACAAAAAACCAAACCAAACAAAGCCTCAGGTCCCGAGGCTGCTGCTCAGGAGCTGCAGCAGAATAGCGAGCACTGCTCTTTTTCGTAGCTTCGTGTCTCCTGGCCTTTCAAGAGCAACAGCCACTGCAGAAGTTTATGCTCTTTCAGCGTGGCCGCCTTCTGTCAAAGAGGCAGGGAAAGCTGCCGGTGACTCAGCCAGACCGACCGACCGACGGACAGACAGATCGATGCGTCTGGTCAGCAACAAGTAGAGAGAATGGGAATGGCAGTGGCTGCCCCCGCCTGCACCTGTTGCCCGAGGCAGCCGCTCCACTCCCGTTAATGGTAGCGCTGGCCCTGCATCCCTTTCTTTTACACAGGGTATAGGTGAGCAAGGACAGAGCAAGGTAGAATTAAGCCCAGCTTTTCATTATTTCATTGTAAATAACATGAAACACCCGGCTCCAAAGTGCAGTGGAAAAGAATTTAAGAGGCTCAGTTTTTCTTTGAACAATGCACAGTAATAATTCTATAGATGAAGGATGGGGTCCTTAACTATAATTCAGTTTTTCTGAAAGCTATGGCCTACGAAGTGCAGGAACCCATCAGGACATCAAAGGCAGCTCACTATTATTCACAAGAGCATCAGCTAAAGCGGTTTTGAAGCATTAACATCAAGTCAAACAGCAAAAAAATAATAAAATGGATGTCATTTTAAAGAGGGGGTTCCTCCAAGGATGCTTCCAGACGGAGAACTCATACAGTGAACCCATAGATGACACTGCAATGTTTTTTTTTCTTAACAGATCTTTTGTTAGCAGTAAGGAAAAATATGGAAGAAGAGTGGGAAGGCACAGGAAGGCTATGAGTAGGAAAATATATAAACGAGACCCCTAGTAAAATTCCATGACTAAGGCAGGGCGGTGGCACAATAAAAGCCTTGTCTGGAAATGAAAAGTTGACATCTTCCATTCTCAATGCTAGAGACAAAAGAAAGAAATGGCCCATGGAATGAAGCCAAATAGTCTCTAATCTAGCTGCCCAGGATATGCATCCAGTAGAATGAGTATCCTCTGTGAAAATCGTAGTTTGTTTATAATCCAGAAGCAAATTCCTCACCACCACCTCTGAAAAACACATTGAGATTTACTTCTGAACATTCAATTGGTACTGGAAGTTCAAATTCAATAAAACAATACACAAATAAATCATGTGGCCCACAGGCAAACTTTGCATTTATGCCACCAAATTCTGTCCCCAGAGCATTCCGCAAGAAAATGCTGCACTGTGGCACGATTCTTTTCTGGTCTCCAGCCAGCCAGGCGTACCCTCTTCCAGGATACTTCCGCTAAATACACACACAATTACTTGCTTCTCCGCAGTCTCCAAAGTCAGTCAATATTCAGTGGCCAGTGAGCATGCTCAGGGGGATGCCCCCCCACACTTTTTTTGCCAATCTTTTAAAATGTATCTGTGAAATCTGACATCCCCCTACCTGGTTGCTGATACCTTTCGGCATCGGGATACCATTCTAACTATAATGTTGGCCCTTTACATTTGTGGGGGTTAGGTTGGCAGAACACCTGTGAAAGTGGAGAACCTACAAATATTTCTACCCACCAAAGCTTACTCTCCATACTGTTGCCCATCGGTGCACTGGATTGTTTCCTTCCTCTCCCCCTCTCCTCTCAGACCTTGGTCTGATCCAGCAGGGCTCCCCTCCTTCATTTAGTACATTCCCATGGCCTTGCTCCCTGCGCTCCCTTCCGCTCACCAGCGCCTCCTCTTTGCACCCAGGAACGGTGGGAGGATTTCCCTCTCCGGAGGGGCGGGGCGAGAAGGCAGGCGTCCCCGGAGGCCTCCCCGCTCCCCTTTCGCTTCCCCTCTCGCTATGGTGCTCCTGATTTTCCACAGTGGGCCTCAAAACTCCAAAACAATTCCCATCTGATTATTGGTGGCAAACTCCCAAATATTCAATTCTGTGACAGCCAACCCTACGAAAGTCGAGGTTCGACGGTAGATGGATCCATACTCAAATAACAGGTTTGTATTTTGGATACAGGCTGATGTCTTAGTGGGTCGCACAGGCCCTGTTTTTGTTTCATATGTTATGTAGAGTCTCAGAACTTTCTTCAACACCACTTTTATCATAAGAATACTACATTTTCCCACACTCTATTTACCCCCTTACAATTGCACAAGTTTCTGCTTGGAGTCCAGTGAAGCATGTGGTTGCACAAATGCCCTGGTTATGCTGGATAGTACCGGTTGGCATCATGAAACACCTGCTGAGGCCCACAGTCCAGCCAGGCCCCACTATCAATCCCTGGCCTCTTCCTCTTTGATTTCACTGCTGATCTGAATTCTTTGGGTTAATTGTAACCAAAGCAATGAGAAGGGGCAGCAGATACTTCCCCTCTGGATTGGGCCCCCACAGCTGAGCCCATGAGCAAACAAATGGGCACAGGCAACAATAGACAAAAAGCGCTGAAGGCACCTTGCCCAGGACCCCAAACATTGATAGAATTGACACTCATGTCTGTGATTTCGCTGAGAAGACCCGCCCCCAGTCCCCTCAGACTCATCCATTGGTGAATATTTTTTTACCAGTAGAGCAGGGCAATGCAGTCATACTCAAAGGATGACAGTGCCTGCAACTGGTGTCCTTGGCAGTGGTGCCTGCGCCCCCATCTTTGCTGCCCTTGCCCTCCAATAGGATTGCCTGCCTCTGTATTGCTCAATCAGCTGCCTGGATTCTGATGTGGGCAGGGATGGGGAGCCCCTCCCACCTGTGCAGAAGATGGCAAGATCCTATTGGCTGGGAGGGCCCCTTTCCCTCCCCCCCAGCCCCAACTGTCACTACATTCTAGAACAGTCCGGCTGGGCTGAGGGCGTCGCCCTTGAGGCGTGTGCTCTCCTACTCCGTGTGAGTTACATTTTCTTCCAGATGCTTCTAGCCTGCAACAAACATCTTCAGTCTTCCATGAACTTGTTCCTCTACATGATGCTTTATTAACGATTTGATGGGGTTCCCCTAAGGTTCCCCATTGGTACAACAGCTCAAAGCATCCAAGCCTAGGCCACCCCCCCCCCCAAAAAAAAACGCCTTGTGGTCACTGGAGCAACCTAGTACATTGCCATTTCTGCAGGGAAAGCTGAGCTGAATCCGTTGCCATCCTGTGGGTTTCTTTTACATATTCTCATGCAAGAAGTTCTTGGGTTTGCGTTTAATGTACAACCTGGTAGTTCCGTAAACATTATAATTTTTTCTAATAGCACACTCAACAGATCCAATGCTTATCAGTGTGGATGTGAAGAGGAGCCACCCAAATATAAAGCTGTTTTTAACATATGTGAAGGACTCATTAGGGACACAGAAGTATGTACAGTGGTACCTCAGCTCATGAATGCCTCAGTTCACGACCAGATCAGGTCATGAACAGAAATGTTGGCAAAATTTTGCCTCAGGTTGCGAACTCTGCATTGGGTGACAATCACGATCGTGCCCACCTTCCCTGCATGATCGTGCTCGGTGGAGGGGAGATGGCTGCGATCACAGTTGCGCTTGTCCAGGGAAGACGGGCGCGATCACAATCGTGCTGGGGGGGAGATGGCTGCAATTGCACCTGCCTTCCCTGCATGAGCACACCCTTGATCATGGCCATCTACCCCCCTTTGTTACTTTGTTGTTCTTTGTTGTTCTTTGTTACTTTGTTCTTCTTTGTCACTGGGTTTCAAATTTTTGTGATTTAAAAAAAATGGTTACAGAATGGATTAACCTTATTTACACTGAACCTTATGGGGAAATTTGACTTGGGTCATGACCAGAGTCCTGGAACGGATTAAGTTCATGAGCCAAGGTACCACTGTATATTTGTAAATTCAAACGGAAAAATACTGAAGAAGTAAAGTGGCAGACAAGAATCTGTTTGCTTAGAGAATACTGATGGTGGCTGAGCCTGTAGGGAGTGCAGAGGAGGGTAAAGATATCAGACATCTGGCAGGGTTTGTGGTGAAGAACAGCTGAAAATGGCAGTTGAAAAAACAGCCTCACCCCCACACGGAGGAGAGAGGGAATTCTTGAAATCTCAAGTTCCTGGCAGTGCATAGTTAGTATTGTAAGAATTGGAATTTGGGGGTTCAACAAACTCTCCTTCACTACATAAGGATGGTTCAGTCTCTACAACTGTGAGTATATAGCATCATAGTTTAAATAGGAAGAAGTTTGGTTTCCTTTGGAAAGAAAGAGTACTAGAAACTTACTTTTGTAATTCTTGAGTTTATTTACAAATACATACATTGAGCAGAGATGGAAGCAGACAGCTTAAACACAACAAGGTAAATCCCACTGCTACCACTTCTGATCTCCAGATACACCCCCATGGCTTACAGAGCCTCCAGAAGCCTAATTTCTGCTTGCTGTCTTTTGCTTTCTAACTCTGAACAATCTCCTTTGTTCTACCTCTCTCCCTCAATCTCTGCCTCACTTTGCATCATCCTTAACTGGAGAAAAGTAAAAGAAAAAATACACCTTTTGCCAAAATGGCTCTCAACTTCTGGAGAAGCCTCCCTCAGTCATCATATACCAGGGATGCAGATTTTGGCATAGTGTCACATAGACTGCAGCTTGCTTAATAAACCCACTTCAGATTGTGGCCCATTTTTGCCATGCCAAAGTTATAGGCCTTAGCTGTAATTTTTCTACCAAAGGACATGCTTGACAAACTTTGCTACTGACTGCTATGGATGGACATTTCTAGGGATCCTTCTAGCTATATTAACCTTTTCCTCTTCAGTCTTGCAACAATAATGATAAAATGTTCAGGTTTGGGGTGTTGCAGATGTCTTATTCTATAGTTAACCAAAGGGTCCAGGGAAGTTCATCACCTTCTCAGTCCTGAAGCACAGAGACAACAGGAGCCTACAAACTCCTGTTCTAAGCTGTCTGGTACTCTGAACAGGAGCAGTCCTGGGAGTAGATAAGTTAAGAATTTAAGGAGAGCCCCGCTGGATTAGACAAAAAGCCTACCCAGTCCATAATTCTGTCCTTACAATAACCAACCGGATGCCAAAGTGAAGCCTACAAGCAGGACATGAGGGGAACACCGTCTGACTTGTGTTTCCTAGCAGCTAACATACAGAAACAGGTAACAGCTCCAACAAATTGTGGCAGGAGCCCCCGTATCAAGCAAATTTCCTACATATACTTGCATGTAATACTCTCAAATACATATAATTAGTCCATTTGTAACCCACAAGGATCTCAGAATACCCATTTTATTCACACAACCCTCCTGCAAGGAATAAACAACAGTCACCCAATGAAGTTTATGAACTGGAATGCAGAACTCTGTCCCCTGACTCCAACAGGATGGGGGAGGTCTGTGAGGAGCACATCTTTCATGCTTGGTCTGGAGACCTAAATCTGCGTTTACCAGCCCCTTTTGGGGTGACTCAGCTGCACTGATGCTTAGTTTCCTACCATTCTCTTGGCAGATTTCCAGAGGCAGGTGTTTGAAGATGGCCAGCAAGCAAGGGTACAGCTGCTTTTCAGATAGCTCTGTGGATGTTCCATCTTCCAGCCCTGAAGGCACTCTGACTCTTAGTCCTCACAGCCCAGGGCTGTGCCTCATCTCCCCTCCCACTGCAGAGTCCCACTGGCTGAGCAATGCAACACCACAGCCTGAGTCACCATCTGAAGTGAACATCACTTTGGAGGAGCTTCTGGCACCCATTACCGAAAAGCTCAAGTATTTGTTGAAGAAAGCTGAAGACTTCCAGACATACCTACTGTACAGGTGGCAATGGGCTGGGTCAGGGTTGATTGCATGGGAGGTGGCAAACTTGGAGTGATCCAGGTAGTTCAAGGTATATTTGCTGAAATGATGCTGAGATGCATTTGAATATGTAGTAGCTGATTACTTAGAAATTGGGGGACTGGGGGAAAGGGAAGAGGGGCTAATTATAAAAAGGCATCCTATAGAAAGCAGCAGAATGGATTCCAAAAAGGGCAGTGCTTGTATTGAACTTGGGCATACTATAGGTTGATATATAGTGATTGAATCACTAGTTTAGTTGCTCATCACTTGGGTTGGGCCCCATGAATCGTTTGAATTTCTGCCTGTTGTGCCAAACTACTAGTGTGCCAAGGTGCTGTCTGGCCTGATTTTACAGCGGACTGGTATCAGGCAGAGTATCTTTCAAGGTATGGAGGACTTCAGTAGAATTTTGTGGGAGGGCGTTACGATGGCATTTCTTCCAGGCATCACTGATTCCCTTAATGCACTACATGGCTCTATCATGCAATTCTATTACAGTGTTATACAGTGGAATAGGAAGTTTATCTTTCCCTGCCTATTGCATAGATGATGAACGCTCTGCATCAGGGGCCCAGAGACTATCAAGGGAGCCATCATACTGCCTATACAGCCATTTTCACTTTCTACAGGGTGCCCACAATACAGAAGGGACAAAGTAGACCTAGAGTGCCTCTGATTGTTTTTAGGGTGCAGCTTGGCCACAACCATCAGAGCCTTCTGCAGGTTTATTTGACCATTTTGAGTGCCTAGTATGAACGAAGGTCTTTTCCACTCAAGAGTCTTAGGCCATGTGCAGGTCATCAGTGGCACATTTGTGCTGCTCCTGGCTGCCCTGAGTGACCTGTATAACATGAGAGATTGTATGCCCAAGAAAAGAGGGCAAGTGGGACATTTTCAGAATGGGTTTTTGAGGGGTTAGGTAAATCTCACCCAATGTGGTGCCCACCAAATGTTTTGGACTTCAGTTCCCATTAACCCCACCCAGCATCAATTATGACAATTAATACTGGTGTAAAGGTGTCATGGCCTTCATGGCCCTTCCAACTCTATGATTCTATGAGAGTTGTTGTGCAAAACATCTGGAGGAGAGCAGACTGGGAGAGGTTGGCCTAAGTGATCTCTGAGCTTTCATTCCTTGCTGTGGAGAGTGCCTTGCCAAAGTGCCCTCAAGATCCCCTGGAAATTGGGGTTCTAGTCTCTACTCAACCATGAGGCTCACTAGCTGATTTTGGGCCACTCACTGACTCTCAGCCTTACTGGGTTGTTCTTCTGAGGATAAAACAGGAGGAGGATTATGTAAGCCACCTTGGATGGGAATAACTATAATGAATTAATTAATAAAAAGAAAACATACCCAGCCCTATACTGTTAACCAGGCACTCTCCTAGCAATTAAAATATGTAGCACTCTTGCGCTAATATGTACACTGTAGCAAGCCAAGAATAATGCTTTGTAAGGAACAAAGACTGGCTCAGTTTTCCCTGGCATCAATGCTGAATACAAGAGTGTGTGATGACCATAGAGTGGGCCTCCTGTTTTCAGCAGAGACAGAATGCAGAAGGAGCAATTTGCCAAAGCTATGCCCACATTTCTACAGATGTGCCAGCCCTACTTCCACTATCTGGAGTCTACAGCACGCAGCTGCACACCTTATTTAAGACCGCCACAGGAACAAGTGCGCAGGCGGGTGAGTTTGTCAGCAGGAAGAAAGAGGGAAGGACCCAGTACAGCTGGTAGAGCCATTCTATCCAATCACATTCAGAAAGTTTAAAGGATATCCTCTTAGCACCTTTACAGAACTGATGCAAAAAGAAAGGAAAGGGAAAGAAGCTGGTTCCAGTGAGAAGTTCCTGGAATCAAAATGTTTCCTTCTTTGGTACTGGAAAAGGAACTGATATTGCTTCACTGCTTCTCTTGGATTGAGGCTACCTCATCATTCCAGCAGTTTTGGGGTAAATTTTCAAAACTAAAATATCAGCTCTTTTGAGGCAAACATCCAGCTCATTCTTGGCCAATTCCCCTCCCTTTCTCCTGCACAACTGCAACAGTTAAAAATGAATTTCCATCTTCACACTTGGGAACAACTGTGCAAATATATTATTTTCAATCTTTGAAAAAATGATGTGCAATCTTGGGAGGAGAACATCAATGGAAGCAAACTATTTTTGAATAAAGTGAGATAGTAAATGTGAAATTAAAGGAGATGTAAAATGAGAATAGTGTTTGTGCAAATAAGCAAACATACTGGAGAAAGGATTGTGGCATGTTCATTAGTAATTTGCCCTCAGCATAGGACTGTTAAATACCCAGCTCCTGAAAGAGCAAGGATGGCAGAGCCTTCCAATACAGGGTGCTTCTGGACATGACCTGCATTGTGCAATTGCCCTGCTTCACTCACAGAATTTGACCATGCTCCAGTTGGCATCGTTTTCTTAGATAACCTGTTGGTAACCCTCCCCCGTTTTCCCTTCTTCCATTGGTTTCTTTGCCAGGAAGCATCTTTTAATGAAGGAAAGCCAGCACAGCTGTGCCATTTTTTTGATTGGTACCATTAGGAGCTCTTTGTTTGGAAGTACTTTGGAGAAATACGCTCATCCAGAGTCAGCAGCTGCTTTGGTCCAAAGTAGAATCAAGAGATGAGGGAAGGGGGAGGGAGGTCTTCCCTGACCAACTTTCTGCTGCTAGCAAATTCATTGCTGAGTGATACTGAAAACCGCAGGATGAGTCTGTGCTTTTTCCTGGGAGAGAGAAGGAAGCAGCAGGAAGCACAAACAGTGTGAATTGAGCCTCAGTATTTCTGGCAGATTCCAAGTATGAAGGGCTTGGCTGAGACAAAACATTTCTCTTTGGTATTAGGAGAGATGTGAGTAGCAGCTCACTGAGTGGGGATCAGCTTAGTTCTAGTCAGCACTTGCCCTCCAGAGTTAGAGATCCTGCTCTTCAGCCTTCAGTTTTAGAAAAGGTCCAGGCCAAATTGTGATTTGTGGTTTTGTTCTTCCCCTCCACAGCTCCTGGAGATCTCTCAGCAGTTGGTTTGCCAGCTCGAGCAACTGGTGCTGATGTATGCTTCCTTCAGCTTTGTGTCTCTGGAAGACACAGACCCATTCAGGTACAAGACAATTTCCAAGGCAGAACCAGCTGTATGCTCCCTAGTGTGGAGCAAGTGGACACAGCAGTCTGAAGTCAGGAACAAGGTATTCTGGGAGTATTCCTTGCTGTTCACTGGGATGTGTAGAATTTAAGAACATTAGTTTTTCCAGGTGAAATCAGCAGCTATCTCTGCACCATGAAGTAGATGAGTTTAATCTAAAGGGGGATTAAATGCTCTTTTGCCAAGAAAGTTGTCTTAATTACACTTTTGAAGAGAGAACAAAGAGCATTTTTAAAAAACCAAGAGTCCTCCTAAAGATACTTGATGGATGTGTGTGTACATGTGTGTTTGTGTCCCTCAAAGTCCATGAATTGTTTATCAAGTTTTGGCAGAAATACTTGAAAACTAATATTCACTTGCAACAATCTAGGTCAGGGGTCGGCAACCTTAAACACTCAAAGAGTCATTTGGACCAGTTTCCCACAGAAAACACCGGGAGCCACAAAACCCTTTTGACATCTGAAATGAAGATAACACTGCATATATCTTTTTTACCTTTATGCTATGTATAAAAAACTGTACTGTGTTGCATTTATGAAGTCAACGAATGATTCTTTTATATAATCTCCATCTGTGAACGGCTTCCTGTCCTTTACTATTTCCTGAGTGGCCACAAAACTAGCATATGCAGTTGAATTTGCAGACTTCATCCACTTCTTGAAATGATTTTTGCTCAGATCAACCTTCCGCCTCAGTTCCAAAATGGCTTTTTTTCTTTAGTCTCCATCCAGGTATTTTTCAGCAAAGGTTGTGTGTTTATTTTGGAAATGTCTTGCAACATTCAACTTTTTGTTGTTTGCCAATTTCTCACCACATATTAAGCATACTGGTAAACCAGTCTCATCAGCAGTGAAAGCAAATGAATCTGTCCACGTACCATTAAACATTGTTTCCTTCTGAAACTTCTTTTCTTGGATTTATCCATGGTTGGCCTACTGGGGGTCGAAAAGCTCAATAAATCGCATGCTGGCGGGTGTCGCACATTGGCGGTTGTGACGCATATTTTGAGCGACAGGGAGCTGCAGCAGAGGGATGAAAGAGCCACATGTGGCTCTGAGCTGTGGGTTGCTGACCCTTGATCTAGGTTCATAGTGTTAGAAACTCTCTTGAAAAGTACTAATTAGAAAGGAAAATGTATTTATTAGCTTTTGTGTGAATTTTGAAAGATACTTCTGGCTTTGAAACTGCCATTTGTCTGTCTCCAAATCTCTGCCAGTGTTTCATGTTTCTTCTGTGGAAAGTTTTGGCTGAATGAGGCACGGCAGGTTTCCATCTTCCGATATTGTATCTCAGCACCCTACACAGCTGCACACATTCCCCACAACTTATACAAGAAGATGCGCTGGAATCTTGACATCTTGGAAGGGGCTCCTGGCCGGAATCAAACACCCCGGTCAGAATAGTGAGTTGCTGGATGTCCTGGCTGTATGTGGTGTGGGTAGAAGGCCCAGATCCAAGAGACAGATCTAACCATGACCATCACTGATATTGGAAGTACAATAGGTTCTCCTGTTGCAGAGCTAATGAAGTTCTGGCTGTGGTTTTATTACATTTCCATTCCTTGAGCATCCCCAAGGCTTGCTTGACCAGCTATTCTCATTATTCAATGCCTGCAATCTTATCCTTTTGTTGCAGCTACTTCCTGTGCTTCCGTGATACAGGAGATGATACCACTGTGAAGATGCAGAAGCTCTGGTCCATTGGACGCTGGGTGCCTGTTGATCCTGACAGTGAGCATAGCTCTGATGTGCTCTCTTGGTGGGTATGCAGCAGCAGTGCAGTGGTGCTGTCTTGAACAGAGGGAGGCCAGGGGTGTGTGTGTGTGTTGTAACCCACCAAAGCATTTAACATTTACAAAGCTATACTGCTTTCTCAAGAACTCTTAGAATTAAGGCATTAATAATCTGTGCCTTTAGTTCATGATGCCTCCACTGAAGTGCTAGGAATGATGTAGGATGAGCACATGCTACAGCTGTCAGAATGCCTCCTCATGTATTTCTGGCACCACTCTGCTGTCATGCTGTAGCAGTGGGTTGTTCATTACAAACCAGCAGAGTTCAGTCCCTGGATACTTTACTGACTTCACCTCTCTTCCTCATGCAGGGTGTTGTGTCACCAGCCCATGGGGGATTACCAGCAGCTTTTGACAATTGGATTTGAAGAACCCTCCCACACCTTAGCTACAGACCTCTTGGTGCAGATGCTAAATGCTCAGAGTTCTGGCCTGCTTCATCGTGAGTCTTCCTGCTGGGTGAGCCCCAGGGAACAAGTGCAGTAAATATGTGCCACTTCATGGTGTGCTGCAGAACACAACTCGTGTTTTCTAGCACTGCCAGCATCACATCAGCAGGAACACTATGCTAGAAGTGGTATCTTCACATCAGTAAAAGGAGTCAATGATTGTGCTTTGTTTTATACATAAGTTCATTTAAGATTTTGACAACTTTATGAAGAAGTAGGAAAAAGCTTGACCACCCCTCCTTCCATGAGCATCACAGCCTGCACTACTTTCAACAGAGACTTGCATTATATTTTTAAAGAAGAAGAATCTATGTTGATGGTCACTGCTGGTGGTCCTGTAGGCTTCCTCTACCAGAACACTACACTCTTTATGATAAACCATATTACGGAATATCAGGGCTCTTACAAGGTGCAGTAAGAAAGAGTTGGCAGTCACATTTTTCTTCTTACATCAAGAAACCCTTTATCATGGTCCTGCACTGGACACAGTATAAGTCATCTCATCTAATTAACTTTCTGACCATTTCCTTTGAGTTTATATATAGCTTGTTCTCCTTTCTTGATTTTCCTCTGGGCCCTACTCACCTGGCTATAGCTGGTAGAGCAAAGACATTAAAGGAATTAACAGAGAATATTCAAGAAGCTTTGATTTTTTTTTAAGGAGTAATGTAGCTTCTTAAATAATACAATAAATGCTTGTTCTTGTTCTGTGGAGGTTCAGGTTTTGACTATTTGCTTGCTTGTTTATCCATCTTTTTGTGTTGAAGTAAACAAATAAGCAGCATTTTAAAAATAACAGTTCAAATATGAGATATAGAATATGGTCCAATCAAACTTACAAACCAATCAAGACAAGAAGATAAGCAATAATATCTTGCTTTTTTGGACTTTTTCATCCATCTAGCTATAGTATCTTGGAGGGAAATGGAAGGATGCTGAAGGAGTTTCAGGATATTTTGTATCCTGACTTCCCCATCTCCTTGGCCCTTTTTACTCTCCCTCTGAGGTTGCTGTTCCAACTTTGGAGAGCTGCTGGTGCAGGAGGAGAGTGCAGTCTCTATCTTATAGGTGGGATCTGAAAAATCCAGCTGCACTTCAGACATTGTCTAGAAGCCATAGGATCACTCCCTAGATGTAACTATGAGGGTACACATAGAATTGTGGAAAAAGGAGCCATGGCTGACCCACATTTCTGAAAACGTAAAGACCAGCTGTAACTCAGATCTGTCTCTTGCCTGGAAAAAAAAAACACAGAGAGCAGAAGTAAAGAGAAGCACAACAGGTTTTTTTTAAATTCACAAAGCTGGTAATTAATTTTCAGTCGCACACTGGGTAAAAAAAAATAAATCAATTGAAACCAAATGTGTAGTATTACCTAGTGAATAGGATCTCAAAATGCAATGTGCCTTTTCATTTGGTAGAAAATCAACTTCCTCTGGTAATGGATTCTCTCCTGAATGGGGAGTAGCAATCCTGTGTGTTGCAATATTTCAAATGTTCTAGAATAGGGACAGCCAGAGAGTTTGATTGACCACTGCTGTTCTCACAATCATTCTGGTTAAACACCGGGAAAAATGCTAAGGAGCAGAATGCTGAGTCAGAAAGGTATCTAAAGAGAAATAAAAGCAGAGAAGCCCTGCCATCTAGTGGCCAAAGTATAGCTCTCAAAGTTAAATTATATTGGGATTTTTAAATGTACAAATATTAATTTCAAGCATGGAAATAGCAAGCCTTAATAAACCTTTTTAAAGAACAAATGTTAACAGTGGCAAAACCATCCCCTGCTACACCTTTCAGCCACTGGAATGCCTTCTTCAGCTTAAGTACCAGCATGTTTCTTTTAAGTGTCAGCAGCATGACCAAGGTACATTCTAATAAATAGAAGATTTAGGCATTCTGATCATTAGAGCTTTCCTGTTTCCTTATTTGTTAGTCTGAACAAATATTGTGGAACTATATAAAGTATGACCTCTTTATATATTCAAGCAATAAAACAGACTCCTGAAATGTTGGAGAATGTCATGGCTAAAAGGCAACTGTAAAAAGCATAGCTCACTTCAAACATCAGTAGCACTAGCATAAGCAAAAAGAGGGTTCAATGTGTATTCTTTTGCAGCTCCAAATGGTTACTTTTTTTCACCATTTCACTAAAGTCAGTCCATATTTCAACAATAAATTGTGGGCTGAATCTAAAGCCTCCATGGGCCATATTTGGCCCATAGGGCCAAGGTTTCCCAACCCTCTCTAAGGCCAAGTCTCCATTTTATGAAGACAGGCTTGAGGTAAATCATCCAGCTGTGAAAATAATAATCTAATCTACTTGGGCTGTGAGCCAGGAGTTGCTGGAAGATACAATGGAGCTCCTTTGCAGTTCAGCTCTTTACTTTTTGGGATGGTAAAGAAGAGCAAACCAGGCAATGGGAGGAAGGTGCCAAATGTCTCCCGCACTCCCCAGTTTTGATCAGGCCTGGAATTGGAGAGCCAGTGTGGTGTAGTGGTTAAGAGCATGGGACTGGGACTCAGAGGATCTGGGTTCTAGTCCCCGCTTAGCCATGGAGCCAACTGGGTGACTTTGGGCCAGTCACAGACTCTCAGCCCAACCTACCTCACAGGGTTGTTGTGGGGATAAGATGGAGGAGGAGAATGATGTAAGCTGCCTTGAGCCCTTTGTAGGAAAAAGGCAGGATATAAATCGCAATATAAATAGAAAAAAAATTGATTAAGTGGGAATCCCATTTTCAAGACCTATTTTACCTTTGTCTTCGCCCTATCCCCATCAAATTGTATGAAATACAATCGTGGCTTAAGTGAGGCAGAATACACAGCTACTAAACAAGAATCCTGGAGCCCCCATTTCCATTCCATTTAATGGAATGCGCCCATAGTTGGAGTGGTGGAGGCACTGTGCCAATTTGAAGCTCATGCTGCCACATCCTAGAGAGAACAGGGATGGCACCATTGACTTGGTGATCAAGGGGTTATAGGTACCATTTATGTAGCACATACTAAGTTGTTCTTATTAATTTTTGTATCATGAGATAGTACAAATGTGAAAGGGATGGACTTGTGTTCTTCAACTCTATTTCATCCTAAACTGATCAGTAACATTAAAATAGAGTAACCTAAGGGAGGAGTTGAAGCAATACAATCTGAAAAGCAAGTTCAAAACAGGTTGGCTACATGAGATTGTACAACTCTAACCCTGAACCATGCACCTTTTCGGTTCTTTAGAGATGTGAAGGTAAGGGGCACTGCTTTTAAAGAGTAAAAATTTCCAGTTTAAAGAAATGTGTCTACAGAGGAAAAGCTCTTTTCTAAGTTTAAGCTAAAGATAAGCAGAGCATAAAGTAATTCTCCATTTGAGGCAAGCTAATTCTCAGGTGGAACCTTTACCTTTAAAAAAAAATTTATTGCAAGAGGAAAGGGCTGCATTAAAGTGCATATAATCAGACTTACGACACCTGCTAGGTATTTCTGGCCAAACTTTCCCACCCATGAACAAGCAATTGGCTGAAATAGCACTGAGTACTCTAATTGTGAGCAGCTATGAAGGATGAATAATAGCTCAAGTACAGCTGAAAACATATTCCCCTAGAAACATGGCGTAGACTTTTTCTGTGAGATAGTGCAATCTTACACCACTTACCGGGAAGTAAGCCCATTAAACGCAACGAGATTTACTTCTGAGTGAATTTTACTGTACTAGATTTGACAACAGGCTTTGATTTATTAGAACACTCCTCCTTAGACACATGATTATTTTTTACATTTTTATCCCTTCCTCCAAGACGCTTCTACCTGACTGATAATATATATATTCTGAGGATAATATGTATTCTGAGGAAGTGCAAAATGTATTTTTCACAGGAAGCGACGCACAAGTATTCGTACCAGCATTCAAAATGGCGATTTCATCGCTTCCCACCATTTCATCACCGCCTTAAAAAAAAGTCCTCCCCCTCCTCCCATCCAAGCCGCCATTTTGCGTGAGGCGGGGATACTAGCCTACGATAGCAAGAGGCGTAGCCGCGTGCAACATAAGCCAATCTTGAAGCAAGTGGCTTTGAGTGACGTTACTGCAGGCCCATAGTTTCCTTCTCTGTCGTCGTAGAGAGGCGGAGCTATATTCGGCAGCGACCAATGACAATGGAGAGTGCTTCCTGGGTTGAGCAGTACCGTCCCAACTGGAACGTGGTGTGTGTACCTGGAAGGGAGAAGCGCCCCTCGGATTCGGAATCGGTCAGGTGAGCGGGCTCTACGAAGCGACGGTGCGGCGGGCTGGGGAGGGGGGATGTTCCGCGGCGCGCTCAGCGGTTTCCGAGAGCCTGGCGGGCACACTGCTTCTCCCTTCTTGGCAGCCGGTTTGGCCGCCGGTGCAGGTGCGGAAGCGCCGCGCCTGCGCGTCTCTTGCGGCGCCTCTTCCTTGATTCCCAGAGCAGTACCGCTTCCGCCACCCACTGCCGGCTTGTTCAGACGATCGTTTTGCGACACGTGACTGTCGCTGATTAGCGGAAGAGCACCTCTCCGCTTGGCGGGAGGATGATGTATTCGACCCGGCTTGCCGCTCGGCGGTGGGCGGGCGGGTCTGTTGCGCTCCTGAGGGCTGCTGCGGCCGCCTTGATTTGGGGAAGTGGAAGGCCTTGGCGCCTCGTGCGGGAATATATCCGCAGCCCCGCCGGCCTCGTGGCCGAAAGCGCTCAAGGGCCCTTTGTCTCTGCTGTGTTTCCAACGATCCTGGCCCGGGTCCCCGTATATGAAAAGGAACCTGGCCCTTTTTTTCTCTTGATGGCCTAGCTCCCCTTTCCATGTCGAACCTCTCCAGGATTTCTCAGCCTTTAATAGACACCGGGACTTAAAAATGAGTCCTTAAATTGAAAATTAAAGTGTGAAATCCTGTTTGAAGCATTAACGTAAGTAAAGCAAGTACAGGCTGGCTCTTGTTTCTGTTCTATCTTGATGGCTTTGCTAGTGGGCAGTGATCATTCTGGCAATGCTGTTTTACATTGTCCTATGTATTCCGTTCTTGTATGCACTCCAGATTTCAAGAATCACTTCAGGTGTTTAGTGTAAGGTGTTGCAGTTGTGCTGTAGAACTTTCAATACACATTTTCGTAGCACACGTATGTGCTTTTAAGCTTGCTTAAATAGTGCTTTATCAAGTAGAGATATCATTAAGATTGGCTTAAAGTGTAAATCTTATGCATATTTAGACAAAAAAAATCCCCAGCTCCCAGCATTTCCCAGCTAATCAGTGAGAAAATTATAGAACACTCCCCCATCTAAGCTTGCATAGGAGTGTACTCTAAGGAGATTAAAGCAAGGGTGAACAACTTGTAGGCTAAAAGACCTGTTGGGCCAAACTGTCATCAGCTCCAGCCAGCAAAGCCAGTGATGAGATGGCTTCAAGTTACCCATTCCTATTTCAAAAGATAATGAGTATACAGTTTTGTACATTCCTGTATAGATGCAGCATTAAAATAACCTGTTGTGTTGAGCCAAGAAGTATTTTGCATTCCTTCTTGAAAAGGCTTGGAGGGCTGAATTGTGGAAGTGGGGTTGGAAACAGGAGCAGCCTTTGGGAATGGCTCTAAACATTCCTGAATTCATATCTAACAAAACCGAAGTCACTCATGAAAGATTGTAGAAGTACACTAGCAAGCTATAATATATCTTTTCTGTAGAATTGATGGAAAATTACTGAGTCTGTTAGGGTACAATCCAGTGAAGTTACCTTATTCCTCCAAACTCAAGGACTATCAGCATCCTATGCAGGACAAATGTTGCCTTCACACTCCTCTTGCTCTGCAAAGCAGTTAGACTAAATGCAAAGGCTAAATTTAATTGCATAGCTTCAGAGCAGAGGGAAGGAGGCTAAGGTTCTACCAAGGTATCTTGTCTTCTCCCCTCCTTGTCCTCTTGGCCCCTTCTCTGAGGTGACTTGGTGCCAGCTGTGAAGGGACTGTGAAGCTTCACACTACCAGATACATGTTTCCATATCTAACTAACTTGGGAAACCTGGAAACGGCATTTAAAACAACTTGGGAAATACTATTTAGATTGGGAAAAGTGTATAATATTGCAGGAACACTATTATCTGTCTCTGTCATTAGCAGGATTTTCTAATGAAAGCTGTGAACTGGAGACAGATAATTGCTGCCTGGATCTGTGGCTTCTGCTAGTTTTGCTCCCCACTGGGTTTTTTGATTGTTTTTGATTTTGGGGGGGACTCCTTAATCCAGGTGTGCCATAAAGTCTTTTAATGTTGCCTCATGCTTCCTGCAGGATATGGCTGAGCAGGATGTGGAGAATGAGTTGCTGGACTATGAGGAGGAGGATGAGCCTCAGGCAGTGACTGACACAGCCCCTGTCTCTGCTAAAAAGGATGTCAAGGGCTCCTATGTCTCCATTCACAGCTCTGGTTTCCGAGACTTCCTGCTGAAGCCAGAGCTGCTTCGTGCCATTGTGGACTGCGGCTTTGAGCATCCTTCAGAAGGTAGGAGCTGAGCCAAGGCCCTTGGCCCCCGTCAGCCAGCCCAGCCCACCCACCGGGGAGCAACTGCCAGTGGTGCCACGCGGTGCAGGGTGAGAGCTGGGGGCTGCAGGGAGCAGGGTGGGAGGGGGACATGAGGATGGGGATGACTTCTTTGTCACCGTTGAGCCTAGTATAGTGCTTGGGGTTGCTGCACTTTGGGGAGCTCTGCAGTTAAGATACTGTGTAGGTATTGCCAAGTGACTTTTGATGCTTTAATGCTAGTGAGACTTCATGCTTATTATTAAGTCCTCTGAGGCCCCATTAGCACAGGGGCTCCGTTTAGACTCTGCCTGAGTTGCGATGTCGTCATCAGTGAAAGAGGGGGCTCGCAGGGATAACTAGACCACACCAAATTCCTTTGCAGCATGTTCGCTTTGCCTTGTAATTCAGAGTGATAAGCCTTGAACATCCTCGTGCTCATGCTGCCGACCGCTAGTGTCGTGGGAACAGTTTTGCTCCTTGTCCAGTATGTGTGTGGGAAGGGGTGACTGGAGAGGTGTGATGTGCAATCTCGGGAGTTAAGGGGGTGGGAGAGAGCTGCTGTCAAGGCCTCCGGAGGTTCATCCCACTCATTCTGGGTTCTCCCATTTGTCCAGAGGCTGCCTAAACCCCTTGTGTGACGACTTCTTCTTCTTGCCCTCTCAGTGCAGCATGAGTGCATTCCACAGGCAATCCTGGGCATGGACGTCCTGTGCCAGGCCAAATCGGGCATGGGCAAGACTGCTGTATTTGTCTTGGCTACGCTGCAACAGATTGAGCCTTTGGATGGGCAAGTATGTGATGGGAAGTTCTTGATCTGCATGGTTCTTGTTTTCAAGACACTCTGTCCCTAGAAAGCTAGATGTTCGAACACCCGCGTGAGAGATCATACTCTGATTGGGAAACGTAGTTTGGACTAGCTTCAGAAGCTGCTTTGGGGAATGTTTCTGGGCAGGGGCTCCAGAGCCATCTACTCTAGGACAGGGGTTAATGGGGGTTTGGGTTTTGGTGCCCTGGATTGCAAGTGGTGGGAACTTTTTGGTAGCAGGGTGCCTTTGGAATACTGCTACCTCCAAGAGAGACTCTGTTGGTGACAACAAAGAAGGAGTCCTTTTCAGAAGCTGCCCTCCAGCTATGGAACAAGCTTTTCTTCCACCAATTGTACTATTCTTCCAGTGCTAGGTTAAGACTGTCCTCTATAACGAAGCATTTGACAGCTTCATTATGTCAACTGCATAAGAAATCTTGTTGTTCTAATTTGTTCTAAGTGTTGTAGCTATTAAAAATTGGTTTTAAATTTGACTTAAATTTGGAAGTGAAATTGTAAGATTTTATATTGTATTTTTGTTGTATTCTATGTGTTATAAACTGTTGGGCAGAACAAGAATAAAATTAATAATGAAGAACAATACAATAGAGCTGTTAAACCACGTGCCTACAAGCCAAGTCTGGCCCCCACTCCCACACCCTGGGATCTCAAGCCAGCCTTCCAGGGCGTCTTAGCTAGACCTGTCTCCATGTCCTTTTCTTCTGACTGCAAGTTGTTTGCTCGTTTCTTTCCTTTTCAGTGGTTTCCCCACATTCTAAAAGTTTGAAATGCTTTTCCCAAGTCTTAGTGTCTTGCGGTGAGAAGTTTAAGTCAAAGTGTAAAGGTAGTTTTGATCCCTGCCTTTTGACCAGCACATTCCCTGAATGTGGCTTCCAAGAGATTTTTCCAAAATTAAGTGTGGCCGTCGGGCTCAAAGATGGTCAACAGACCTGACTTACAAGGTGTTCCCAGTTCCAGAGTGAGTCAAAACTGTAGGAAATCTGATCAAGAATATGAATTTGTTCCGGCTGGTGTGTCTCTTGCTTCTCCAATGAATAATGTTCATGCAATACACCTTACCTGTTGAAGTATGATTCATAGTTTTTCCATGCAGAAGGACTGTGTACCATAATGATGCACTATGTATCTATTGCAGACTAGTTCTCAGAGTCAGGTAAAGTGACTACCAAGTATGGCACCTTCTTGCTGCCTTTGTACAAGGATGTCTTTTTTTTTTTTCTGGCAGGTGTCAGTGCTGGTGATGTGTCACACCCGAGAGCTAGCCTTCCAGATCAGCAAAGAATATGAACGCTTCTCCAAGTATATGCCCACTGTCAAGGTAAGGGACAGATGGTTTAATTTGGGTCCAGGGAGAGGTGTGTGTGTGTGTGTAATTTGGGTTGGAGCTTGTGGTGTAGAGGGAGAGACAATGCAATGGCTTGATTGTATGTCCACCTCTACACAGGTTCCAAGATTCAGTTGTTGCTGCCTCTAGCTTGTGTGAGGTAGGACCCTTGCCTAGAGTAGTCAGTGTAGATAGTCCTGAGCAAGATAGTCCTGAGCACCAAACAAATACTCTGATTTGGTATAATACCAGCTTCTTATGTTCATCCCTGATCTGCCTGGTTTCTTCAAAGAAGAAAGCAGTTGGTCCTGGAGAAAGACAGGTTGCTTCCGTGTAATCGTTGGTCTTCAAATGGTCATCTGTGTGTTCACACATACGGGCTTTGCACCTGCACGGAGCCTATTGTCAGGAAGCTTCTATAGCTAAGTGTTCATTTGGGTAGGAGGCCTTCTTGTTCCCAGGAAGCCTGAAGAGAGGCAACTGCCCACCCCCTCACTTCCTATAAATAGCACCATGGATCTCTGGACCAAGGGAAGGGGAAAAGACCCTGACCCTGCCTGGCTTCGAGCATCCAGTAACCATTGGAGGAACGACAGCAAGTAGGACTGGAGGGCAGGTTGTGCAGATGACCCCTTGAAAGCCAACAGCCGCAAGTAAGCAGCCTGTCCTTTTTCTTTGACATCTCCCTGCCTCATACATGTGGACCACTAACTAGCTTACCCTGTGAAGGATGGAGGGGTGCTGTTGTCACTGGAGGACAGAGGAGAGGGTCGCCCTGCCAAAGTCTGCCCTTGCACAGATGTCCAGCTGGTAGGGTCTGGCAGGTGCTGAGGGCATGGACTGTGTGGCTGCTCTGCCGATGCCTTTCAGAGACATCTGACCCCGCCTCTTTCAGGGGGATCCCAGCAAAGAGGACTGTGGGCATGCCAGTGCTCATGTGGAGTTGGCCCTCAGTCATGTGGTGAGGTGAAGGCCAGTCTTGTAGGCGAGGCAGATGGTGCAGGAGACCCAGCCTGGTGGAGGCTCCGTGCTCAGGACCATGGATTGCTTGGGACTCGCACAGCATCTCCTCTTTTGTTTCGGTGCAGCAGCCGCCACCTTCTCTGAGCATTTCGCAGCCTTCCTAGCTGCACAGTCGACATGGGGAAAAGATGGCAGGCAGGGAAAGGCAGAAAAAGAAAAGAGGCACGGGCAACTTGAAAGAGGGTGCAAGGAGCAGTGCATCGGAAGATGAGTAGGCAAAAATGCAGATTTTCTTAATAGTTAAGAGTGAAAATGAGGCTGTTGAAGGGAGAAATGGAGAAAGGTTTGCTGTGGGCGAAGGAGAGGGAAAAACAAGAGGAGAACTCTAAGTAGCTAGGTGGATGAGAGAGAAGCGATTATCTAGGTGTGATGGTGGTCAAAATGATACTGACGGGATGGGTGGGAGCCCCCCCTCCTGCTTCCGGGGAACAGGAAGGGGAGGGGATCCCACCCACTTGAACGCTCAGCTGTGGAAGCTTCCCTACAATGGGCTCTGCACAGACACGGAGCCCTTATGTGTGAGGCACAGAGACCACGGAGAAGAAAGAGTGGATCTGATGGAATGAGGATGGTGGGAACCTGTGTGGGTGGGCCCTCCTCGTAGTTTATTGCATCTCTTTTCATGTCCTGTATCATGTTCTGTGAATCAGTGTGGCATGATGGAAGATCTGTAGGTTTGCTGGGGTTCTCAGTGTTACTCTCATCTATCCTGCAGGTAGCTGTCTTTTTTGGAGGGCTTTCTATCAAGAAAGATGAAGAAGTGCTGAAGAAGAACTGTCCGCATATTGTGGTGGGGACCCCTGGCCGTATTCTGGCACTGGTGCGCGACAAGACACTCAATCTGCACAATGTCAAGCATTTTGTATTGGACGAGTGTGACAAGATGCTTGAGCAGCTGGGTAAGGGGCAGAAACGCGCCATGCTCATTTCCTGCAGGAGGACATTGGGGCTTGGGCTGCTGTCATCAGGGATTTGTGATCTGTTGGTTTGGGAAATGTTCTTCTTGGAAGGAAGCCTGATGCTCAGTGCCAGATCAAGAGTAACATTGCTCAGAAACCTGCTTGAGTTATTTCAGGAAGTTGTGCCTGTTTCAAGTGCATGGAGGAAGAGGGGTCATGGCCAGACACTTCACAAGCTGCATCCAACTGTCTAGTCTCAAGGCAGAACCTGAAAACTGTCTTTGCATTTAATTGAGGTGGAATTAAGATGCGAAAGTGGAGCATAAGGAGATACATGGTAATTTACCAGGAATCCTCAAACTCTTCTGTCACATGGAGAAAACACAAGATCATTCCGACTTTTTTGTTCTGATGTCCTTCCATTTGAAAAGAGGACCTTATGACAAGGCAAGCTGCTTCAGAGGGCCTATTTTGACATGTTGCCAAGCCATCGTTTAGTACTTTGAGACAATTTCTTCTTGTGTGCAGCTATTAGAAGTTTTTGATCTCCAGCAAACAGTCTGCTATTTTGGCTGAACAGGCAAAGTGTGATTCGCACTCACCTGCAAACCAGGATCAGAATCGTTTTTCAGACAAGTATTTATTGAAATTAATTTTAATTCAGTAAATTTTGAATGGAGCTGGTCTTTGACCATAATAAAGTCAGTCAGTCTCTCTCTCTCTCTCTCTCCCTCCCTCCCTCCTTCCTTCCTTCCTTTACTCCCCCCATACCTACATCTCGCACAACCTCACACTTTTCACATGTTTTGGAACCACAGTT